ACCCTCCGCAAAGCCCTCCTGCGCGTCCTCAAACACCTCATCAGCATCAGCCTCCTGTTCGGTCGCCGCCGCCGTAACCGTCGTTGCGTCATCGCGGCTCGCCTTGCTGCTGCTGTAGCCCCCGCCTCCGCCTCCGGCCTCAGCCGCCGCAGCATCGCCGCTGGGGCCTGCTCCTCCGCCGCCACCCAGGAAGCCGGCGGCCCTGGCGGCAGCTGCTCTTGCGGCCTTCGACCCCGGTGTGGGCCTTGGGACCCACTTTCCATCAGGGCCCATCACCACGCGCCGCCGCCAGTCCCTGCCACTCATCACCTCTTTAAGGGTCTCCGGACCTGTCCCAGTCCACCGGGCATGGAAGGGCATGGAAGTCATACATGGTCGGGCATCTGGCGACGATTGTCCAGTTCTTGTTTCACGATATAGGTTGGCCAATGCAGCCGGTAGTTAGGAAAGGTTTGCTTCGGTTCGAATGAGACGACATGACGCTGCGTGACGTGCACAAACGAAGACGGACTGCAGGCCCGACTCATGCCTCGGGGGATCTAAGCAGATGAGCTAACAGCGAAAGGAACAAAGGACGTGCACCGATACAATCAGGGTGCGACAGTCCGATCGGGTCCCGACAGGAATGGCACTTGTGCTGAAAATCCCGACAGGCTTTGAAAAATGCTTTCGGGCGGACCCGACGAAAAAGGGGGAAAATGCCAAACGGCCATCGGGAGCCCCCGACGGGGCCCGGAGGGCTCCCGTCGGGGGACCCGACAGGGTTAGGGGCGCTAGGACCGCCCGATCGGGTGCCGTGGGTCGTCGGTTGGCCCTTCGGCGACGGACAGCTACAGCGATACATAATGGCATTCATACAAATATAACTGGATGGAAATATGTAATGTATTCGTTCACTTTGTTGCCTCTTCTTCTTTATGAGGGGGACGAAGAGGAGGACGAGGAGATGTTCCTCTCCAGTCCTACGTTGTCTAAGGGTCTCCTTGAAGAGCTCGGGTTGTGATGCTCACAGGCAGACGTGCAGGCGTGCATGTGTTGCTGTGTGTGTGTGTGTGTGTGTGTGTGTTTGTTCGTGCATTTCAGATCTGTGAATTGCAAACTGAGAACTGGAAACTGCGCATATAAAATACGAATAAATGTAATTCCAAGCGGCACACAGCGAAATTTCGTTCTTGCGTCACCCGACAGGTTTTGGGATGGGCTATCGGGGCACCCGACAGAAATTGAAAGATATGCAAAAACGCTATCGGGTGGGCCCGACGGGCATGGGAAGGGGAAAACCGGCAACCCGACCATTTCAGGAAGGTCCTGTCCAACCCTGGATACAATATAATTAACATATTTCTGCATTCATGAATAAGCAAGCACACAGCCAAAAAAGCTTCACCGGACCGGATCGAACCGAGGGGCCACACTGCGGATCAAACTGGACCATCCCGGCGAAGTGAGCGACCGACGGACTCACCCGCGCCCGGCATGCTGCTCCTGAGCTTGACCTTCTTCGCAACAGGCGGCGGCTCTTCGCCGCTGCCCAGGCTGCTGCCCAGCATGTCCGCCCCTGCGTCATCCATCCGCTGGCGCTTCACGCATACACCGCTTCCGCCTGCAGCGGCAGCGCCCGCGGCAGCGCTGCTGAATGGGCCCCCTCCAGCAGCGCCCCTGCTCGGGGCTTCCGTTGCTGTGGCTGCGGGTGCGGCCTTGTTGGCCTCCAGGAAACGGTCCAGGGCTGTCACAGCCGGGGGCTCGGAGAAGTCCTCCTTGGAGAAGGGGCTGGCGTCATCGTGGGCCCCATCTTGCCACTCCCAGTTCTGTGAAAGCACACAGGAGGAATAAAGTGAACTGAAGCGAAAAGGAACGATACCATACTGGACATGTAAGTTCCGCTATGCGAGCCACATGGAGCGACAGAGGGTTGGCGGTTATGGTTGGGACGGCGCCGGAAGGGTCGCAATGCTGGTCGCAATCCAACCGAATCGTGTTAGCACAAAGGACATCATCCTCCTAGCCCTGACTGGTATGACCAGCACCATTGGTACATTTTTTTGGGGTCCTCTGTAACGAGCTGAACTTATCCCTGAAAGTCATTGAGAGTGAGGAGTGAAGTAGGTAAACAGACAAGGCACACCTCCAGGAAGGACAGCACCGCAGCGGGCTGCGAAGACTGTGCCGAGATGGCATCCCGCAGCAGCCGATACTGCGCCCGCTTGCAACGCTCACGTCGCCGGACCTGCGATGAAATCCGCCAAGCAGGTGTGGAGAGAGTTCGATATCGTAAAGCCAGCAGTGTGGGTGGACAAAGTGATCGGGTTTAAGAGATAAAGGAACTCAAGCAAAGGGTCCGAACAGGACTCAATCGCAGCACAGGACATGCGGGAATGGAAACCCCTAAGCTACACAGCCCAGGCAGGGAGGCTGAGGGGACGGATGAAAAGAGGGGAGGGCCAGTTGCCGTCATGGAGGCCTTGGGAAGAGAGTTGCAGGGGGTGATAGAGGGGTTCCGGTCCTCGGCTTCGTCTCTCTCGAGGGGTATTGAGTCCAAGCCTACATTTGAAGGTATCTGTTCTGGAGCTAGACTGTTCGGACCCCTAACCGGTACCACCTGCAACGGGACAAGAGCTCCTGGCCATAACTGCACTGCGGTAGGGACAACGTAACCCACCGTGTCCGCCATGGTGCGAAGTAGCTCCAGCTCTTGTCGTACACTGTTGGGACCCCATCGCCCCAACATGGAACGTTGGTTCTCCAGATCCGCCAGACGCTCCATTGTGACGGAGCCGCTCGGTCCGGCGGCGGCTGCTGCCGCCGCCGTACGCGCGCGTGCCATGGCCATCGCCGCCGCCGCGGCCGACACCGACGGCCCTACCGCTGAGTCACCCTCTGCTGCCTGCTCCTCCTCCTCAGGCTCGGTTTTCACGAGCTGCTGCTTAACGCCGGAAGATGTTGTCGCGCCGCCGCCCGCGGCCCCGGTGCCGGAGGACGTCTGCCGGATGCGCTTCGCAGCGCCAGCGCCTATGTCACCCCCATCCGGGCCCTTGCCGGGGGAAAGACCCCCCCCAGCCGCTGAGCCGCTGCTGGTCTTGCTGGACGTGGCATTGGCGCCGCCAGCCGTCCTCGTCATTGCCGTTCTGCCACCCGCAACGGCCCCTGTATCCAGTGCGTCAGCCTCCACGCCTGTTTGTTCAGCAGCAGCAGCAGCAGCAGCAGCCGCAGCGGCAGCAGCTCCACCGTTGCTGCCGACAGCGCCACGGGCACCTTTTGCCTCGACAATCGCCACGTCCGCTGCAGCTGCACCGGCACCGCCAGCTACCTGAAGGCTTGTTGAGGAGCTGGCGCGTCCCGGACCCCTCCGCCTGGTCCCTGGCGCCTGGTCCTTGGCAGCGGCGTCCCCTCCCGTGGTCATGTCCGCAATGCCCGTGGGAGTTGGCGCTCTCGTCCCTACCGAAGATCCCTCGAGAACCAGGGCTCCAGGGGCTGCTCCGACGGCCGCCCCAGCGCCGGCCCCCGCCGCGGCCTTGCGCTTGGCCATGGCGGAGAGTGAAAGCCGGGAGCCAGGCAAAGGAGGCCGGCCCACCGCAGCAGCGGCCGCCGCTGCGGCAGCGGCGGTGGCGGCAGCAACGTCGCTGTCGATTGTGCCGCTTGGCGGAACGGTAGGGGTTACCGCGGCTGTGGCTGCGGCAGGTGGAGGGATTGCATCTGCCTGGGCAGCGCCCGGCGGGGCTGGAACCATAGGCGCCGGATGCTGCTGCTGCTGTTGCTGCTGCAGCAGCAACGCGTGCCCCGCTGGTGTCGGCAGGTCCGCCAGAATTGAGGGCCCATCCGCTTGAGGGCTCGACACTGGCTGTTGCTGCTGTTGCTGTGCGCGAAAAAGGGGGTTTAGGGAGGCAACACCGCAGACTCAGTCCTCGTCACAAAACAGAAAACGCGAACGGCCGACGGGACTGCCCAGTCGGGATGCAAGCTAGGAAGTCGTGACGCTAAAGGCTTGCGCTGCCCCACGTCAGCCGTCGATCAGTACTGCCCGAGCGGGAGCACGCGGGTGCAGACCTGCATGACTCGTCCACCCACACAAAGCCGTTTGTCGGGACAAGCACACATGCGTCCCCCGTCCAACGGAAGCCCCGGGACCTTTCTTACCTGCATCTGGAACAGCTGCATCTGCTGCATCATTATCTGCTGTTGCTTCAGCAGTTTGGGCGGCCGCCCAAACTTCTTTTTCACGGGAACCGTGATGGTGCCCGTCGCAGCGTCAGGCTCGACAGCTGGAACCTCCGATGCGATGCAGCCAACCAGCTGCGGAGCCGCAGTAGGCGCGGCCGTCGTGGCCGCGGATCCAAAGGCCCCATCCACGCCCTCCAAGGCACCTGAGGCTCCAGGGAGGGCCCCCACCGAGCTGCCGCGCTTCGGGGGCCGTCCGGGGCCGGCGGAGGTCGGGGCCGCGGTGAAGACCTCCAAAGGCTGCGGATGAACGGTCGGACAAGCGGATGGATGGATGGGCACATTAATGCATGGACTAGGACCGGATCGAGAGTGGTACGTTATAACGGTGTAACAGTGCAAATTTCATGGATGAGCCAGGATATCCGACGCAATACCATTAGGCAATAGTACAAGCAGCAGCGCGTATCCTGGGAGAGGACAGCGTGAAGTGAAGTGAAGTAAGGATCGCACGTCGGTGGGCTGCCGCAGAAACGGCTGGCCGTCCGTATGGACAACGTTTTTCAACACCCTCTGAAACTTGTACCCTCATCCTTCGGCTCTCGTCCCCTCTTTCACTTTTCCCCCGCCCGCCAAAACCACCAGCTGAGAAGCTTGCGCCTGAGTGGATGACTGACGGGTGGATTGCAACGTGATTCACCTGACCCAGGCCTTTCCCCAGTTCTTACCCTCGCCGCGGCGCCCGAATGCAGGTCCTTGTTCCGCTGCGCCTCTGAATGATTGTGGCAGTAGGCTCGGTAGCGCAACTGCTTGGATCCAGGTTGCAGCCGGGCCACCAGGTAGTTCCCGGTGCGGCGGGCGCACAGAGGATGGAAGTAGCACTGGCAGTGGCCGAAGTTGCACTTGGCGACGGCACCTGCCACCTGGGAAATGCATATCGAGATTGTGCGTGCGCAAATCAAGGGAAGGAAGAGGCAAAAAGCAAAACGAGGAGCGAGAAGGAGGAGATGCAGATTGTTTGAATCCATCATGGGTTGTTTGGTGGCTAACCCAGTGCCGTACCTTGCCGCAGATGGTGCAGGGCGCGCGCCACCGCTCCGGACGAATAAGGCCCAGGTTGTCGATAGTGTCCGGCGAGTCGGAGTTGAGCACCGTGGGCCCCTCGTGCCATAGCGCACAGACCTAAGAACAGGCGGGTATAGTATCAAAATCAATATAGTACCAGCATTATCTAGCCATCGCTACTATTAACAACTCCCATTACCATGACAGGTACTTGAGAACGCAGGCTGTAGCGTGGCAAACCAATCAGTATGGTTTCGGAGCAAGCAGCGGTTACACGGCTGCACAAATGCAGCATTACAAAGGCGTGGTAAACATGTAAGGGAAAAACGTCCTAGCAAGACGAGCAATACCACAAAGCAGGCCTCGCAACAAGTGACCACTGCTGTTGTGCGTAACAAGCTTTTGCGTGTAAAGGGAGCAGCAACGCGCACACGTGTGGGAAACCGACAATCAGCTCACCACATGGGCCCAGGCCTTGCCGTCCACCGTACGCTTGAAAGCGCCCTGGCGCACAGGACACAGGCAGCACGACACCGCCAGCGAGCCGCCCGGTAGCTCTGCATGCGTGATGCCGCGCGCCTCCATCTCCCAGCGCTTGGGCCGAACCTCGCTCTGCGGTACGCCCGCGGCACGCTGCGACTCCTCGTACATGCGGCACGGCCAGCACAGCCACTCCTCTGCAGAGACGGGGGACGGTGCCGGTGACAGCGTTGCGGCGGTTATATAGTTGTAACAGTGCCATTAGGAGACGCATGCAGAGATCCGCGATTGCCGCTGTATGCGCGCGGCGGCGACGGTGCCGGCAAATTTCGATGCGGCAACTTGCGTGCTTGCTCTGCGCATACATTTACAACTCTCGCTCTCTCTTTCCCTCTCTTTTCCCCCTCACCCGCGGGGATGCTGCGCACTCCGTAGCAGTGCTGGTGCACCGCAATGTCGCAGCGCTCGCAAAAGACAATCATGTTGGGGTCTACCGAGAGGCCGTCGCCACAGATAGCGCAGAGCGCCTCCTCGTCGTGCGTCCTGCGGGAACGGAAGGCGGCAGCCAATCCAACCCTCTTACAGCCAGAGAGGTTTTCCCAACGGCAAGAGAATCATGGGTCAATGAACCGTGCTAATCGCGTGTTGTGGGCTTGCACCACCCGCACTTATTTCATGCCCCCGGAGCCGCACTGGCCCATACCTAGGGCCTACGACGGCGATAACAGGGGCCCCACTCACCGGTTGGAATTTCCCTTGTTCACCCCAGCGAGGTCCCGCTAAAAATACCATACCTGTGTGCCAAGGGATCCACCAACTCGAACTCCTCCAATCCCACCGCCGTCGCTGCCGGCCCAGCCTCCGCCGGCAGGCCCTCACCGCCGCTGGCACCCGGCGTGCTGCCGCGCCAGGCCTCCCCGACCTCGCCTGCCTCCGCCGCGCCCAGCGCGCCCAGGCTGTCGAATCCGCCAGACGGCATACCGGCAAACTTCTTGGGTCGGCCTGTGATCGCGCGGGGGCTGGCGGGCTCGTTGAGGGCCGCTAGAGCCTGACGCTTCTCCATCTCCCGCTTCTCGCGCTTCAGGTTGCGCTTGACCTCGGCCTTGCGCTGCACGTCAGGAGGTGGGATGAAATGGAAGGACGTCCCGAAGGGGGATTCGAGTACAAGAAACTACCTCGGGAGGTGGACAGGCGCACAGGCACTCTACCTACGGTCCAAGCAAGAGGGTCAGCAGACGCAGGATTGCCTTAAGGATCGCAGCAAGCTTCAATCTATCATCTGATCTCAGTGTCTCGGACCCACACCTGCAGATAAGCTTTGATTTGCTCCTCCATCTCCGCGCGCTGCTGATTCGCAGCGCGCTGATTGGGCAGATCCGCCACCACCGCCTCCATCAGCGCAGCGACTCGTGAGCGGTTGATAGCCACCTACGCAGGTGGCACCCAGGGAGGGTTCGAGGAGTGACACTTCACTTCACCACAGCACAGGAGGGATGCTAGACCACAGCACAACAAACACAGCAGAGCAATAAACTCCCCAGCATATCTTCTCCTGTAAATCCACTCCTTTATCCATCTCTGGCCGGAAGGCGCCCTCTGTACCTCGCCCTCCCGCCTCTTATGAACCCCACACCTGTTGCACCAGCTCGCTCTGCAGCGCGATGAGTTCCGCCAATACCTCATCATCGGGCGCCATGGATAGCACATCTGCCGCAGCGTCCAGCTGAGTCCACTGCTGCTCCAGGGTGCCTTCCGGCCCGCCTGCGGCCAAGGATGGAGGGTGTGGAAAGAGCAGAGCAAGCCGGCAGGGACACCGCAGGCCGAAGGTGAAGGTGTGGGAAGGGGTGGACAAAACGTCAGGTTAGGCTTTCGGTTTCGGCGTTGGTCCCGGCTCGCAGGCAGGGTGCTGCTTTGGCCTGCCGTGAAAGGAGACGCTAGAGGATGCGAAGGAAGGAGGCCTCCTAGCTACCCTTTACCTTGCTTGAAGGTAAGGGTTTCAAGCCAGTCTGTGGGTTGGTCCCCGCCAAGCATTTACTCATGAAATGCCGCAGTTACTAGGCGCTTCATCCAACAGGGAAAACCTTACCTTCCGCAACAAGTGAGTGCACTGCTGCCGTGGTCGTGTTGGTCCCCGGCTCGTCCTTAAACAGCAGCGGCACCTTGTTCAGAAGCGCCAAGGGGTTATTCGTGAGGGGCTTCTGCAGCCCCGCTAAAGCCGCGGCAGCGGAGCCGCTGCCCACGCTCCAACTCGCACCGCCCCGGGGCCCTGGCTTGCGTGTCACCTTGGCCATAACCGACTTGGCGCGCTCGCGCTCGCGCTCCTCCTTCTCACGCTCGCGAAGTTCTTTCGCGCGCTCCTTATCCTTCTTGCCCGCCAGTGCGCTGTAGTTGACCGAATTGCGTGCACGACCGCCGCGGCCGCCGCCGCCGGTGGCTGAGCCCGGGCCGCCAGGGGTTGGCGTGGAGCCTGACTGCTGCAGGCCCCCGCCAAGTCCCCCGGCAGCATCGTCCTGGGCATGGTGGTGTGAATGCTGTAGGGGCAGCTGCGGGGTGTCCAGCTGCATGTCCAGCAGGTTGGATCCGCTGTGAGCTCCCGTGCCTGTGGCGCTGCCCGGCTCCGCCCCAAAATGCTGGTGGCCTCCATGGGGCGCCATCGCGGCCTCATATGCTGCGCTGCCGACCCCGCGGTAGGTAGCCCGGCCAGGTCCAGGCGTCTTGGCATTGTAGGCGCCAGCGGCGCCGCTGCCGGCCTGGTTGCCACGCGCGCCCTTGCCGGTGGCGGCCCCTGCCGCGGGCCCACCGGCGCCATCGTCGTCGTCCTGCGCTGACTCCACCAGGCTGCCTGTGCCGCCGCAGGGGTTAAGTACGTAGGCAGTGCAGGGCCGGTCCAAAATGCGTTGCAGGTAGGGGTGCATGTAGTCGCCACCAGCGGCGCGAGGCAGCTGATCCTGGCTCATGCCTGCCCCACGATTGGACGACTGCGTGTCGTCGTCATCACCAGTAGGCGGCTTGGCGGCGGCCGCAACGGCGGCGCCAACAGCACCGGTACCTGCAGCTGGGTGGCCGGCGCTGACGCCAGCATCACCCAAGAGCGGGCTTGCGGCTGCGGCTAGGCTGGTTGCTGCGGCTGCTTCCTGTGAGTCGGTCTCGCCCAATTTCCGCAGGTTCATAAGGACTCTGTCCAGCTGCGCCCGGTTCACCGTAGCGAAGGCGGGGCCGACGCCAGACTGCCGCCCGGCGGGGCCAAAGCCCGGCATGTCTAGGTCGTCCAGGAGGCCCAACTTGTGGGCCAGCTGGCAGAAAGCACGCGCCTCCTCGTCCGTGCAGGCGTCAAGCATGGTGGCTGCCGGTCGGCCGTCTGGGCGCCATCCCTGCACCAATGCGTCAGGGTGCTGCCCAGGAAAAGGTGGCTGCGGAAGGAAGCTGGGGCCATTTCCATTGACACTCAAGGCGGAAGCGTCGCTTGGACGCAGTTCCAGCTTTCCTGCGCCACGGCCGCGTCCACGCCGCTGTAGAAGGAATGGAAGAGCAAAAGGACACTCGGTTTACCGATCATGTGTAAGCAAATTTATTATTGCGGTGCTGGACAGTTTGGATGTGAATGTGGGTGCGAGAGCATAGCGGCACTGCGCTGAGGTTGTTAGCCGGCACAACTGACAAACTGTGCCATAACTGCCGTCGAGGCCCATGAAAGTGAGCTGAACTGCTCCTACAAAGATGGTCAAGCTAGGCTTCAAACAAAAAGCGTCCTCTCTACCCCGATGTGTTCCTGAAACACACGGACACAGGAGACCGCCCCACGGACCTCCACAGCGTCGTCTTCCTCTCTAACCGTAGCCTGCTTGCCCTTAGCTGGTAGAGGCCGATCCACTCCTCGAGGATCACGGCCCAAGAAAGGCACGGTAAGGCAGTCATCGTCCTCGGGGTTCAGGGCGACGGGCATTAGCGACATTATGTCCTCCTGGGTTACATCTCGGAAGTAGTCCTGTCCAAGCCATATGAAACTAAGATGTAATATGGTTACACAGCTGTGTTGAATGATGCTGCGAATGTTACCTCAACGAACATCCAAAAAGCGGACGCCTCGTTGACGCTGCCAATATGCAGTCCCGGCGTAGGTGCTGGCGCCGCCTGCTCTACAACAGCTGGTAAAGGCGTGACTTGCTTTCCTTTTATCTTTACATCTTTCCTGACTGCTTCACGTCTTCGCCGCTCCTCTTCTTTGGCGTCCCTGGCCACTATCGCGTCTGCCAAAGTAGCTGGTCCTCTTCCAACGTCTGTTAACTTAGGAAGCGTAGGTGCTTTTTGCAAAGCTTCACGAAATACCTCCTCTCCAACGCGTAGCGCGGTGGCCAGCGAGGCAACCGCGGGAGAGCTTTGACCAGACTCCATCCCAACAGAGGAGGCCTCCATAGTTCACAGGTACTGATGCACAAAGAAACACGAGAAAGCTAACAAGTGAGGTGGCACAGCCTAGGGCAACGGTCTAGGCGATTGCCAACATAGTTACATTCGCTTGGATGAAAGTCAAGTATTATGGCCATAGACAATTAATCCGTTCCTCTTCTGTCCGAAACAGCTTTGCAGAAATCCGGCATAGGTTGCACAACTATTTCGCAGCAAGCATAGCGCCCTCATTCAAGTACAACCGACAGCTCCTTATAATCGTCACAAATTATACCATGTCCAACATCGAATGGTGTGTTTTGGCAAATACGCAATTTATCTCGACCGACCCATGTGTCAATTGCCCTACAGCAAAAACGCAAGCAGCAAAAGACATGAAGATCAATAGGCAATCATGTACTTAAAACCATTCAACACGCACATATGATGTCTGATTGCAGCTCTATGCAAGGGGTACCCATGATGGCTGCTTGACACCTACCTCACGGCGGTCCTAAGCCCCCTATAGCTCCATAGAGAAAGTTCCATGGTACTCATGGCGAAATGCTTCATATGGAAACGACAGATTGTTGCACAGCTTCTTGCTCTCCAACGGCTCCTCTAGCTGCTTACGCTGCTGCCGCCCTCAGACACCCTGGACTCATATTTCCTGACTCAGCCCTGTGGCATGAAAGCCCGAGCTTGTATACGCAGGCTAAGCAGGTCCACACTGATTGCCGGCTCAGAGCGCTTGGGCCCCGGCACAGGTTAGTCGAGAGCTCCATGTCCGAATCCTGGCGACAGCACCTCGCTTCCCGTCATTGATACATACTCCAATCCGAATGCCGGCGAATGCTGGCGGGCGAAGTGGTCCTGGTTGGGCTAAGACCTTCTGTGGGGTCCAGTAGGTCACGAGGATTGATTAGCGTGGTAAGTTGAATTGTATTTCTTTTCTTCCCTATATACTTGTAAACCAAGTATGCGTAAGTATGTCAGTTCCTTACACTATTTGGGTCCTTTGGTCTGTACGGCCTCCCGGGGCTGACCAACCGACTCTCCCTTTCGACCTCAAACTAGCATGCCAACATTCAAGGCTCCACCACAAAGGCCTTGGAAGATGGCACAAGCCTAGCTTACCATCCCAACCCATGATGATTAAACCTAGGAAAGACGCGGCACTTCGCAGTGTACAGGTCTACAGCAAACCAAGGTCCTGCTATAACAATGCCAAGTTGCTGCTACTATACCTGATTATGAATCCGGCATTTCTCTATGCGATGTAGCTGTGAGCCGCTAATGTTCAGAGGGTAGGCACGACCCACTACTTATGTCTGCCGTACGCCATGTCTCGATGCCAAGGAAATACCTGCGCTGTGGTGTTGCAAGCATAGAGTGAAAATGGCAAGACAACTATTCTTTGCCTTAGGGCTTTTGGCCATCTTAGGTCTCGCCTCCGCTGGCAAGAGAGTTCTTGTGTTACTGCCAAATGTGAACGAGGCAGAAAAGTACTCAAAATTCTTTGGCTCTCTCCGAGACGCCGGATTTGATGTGACATTCAAGGGCGTGCGAGACTCTAGCCTTAAGCTTAAGGAGTATGGCACCTGGCTCTACGATGATCTGGTGCTTTTCGCTCCAAAGTCGGAAGGTATCTGGACTCTGACAGTAAGCACCTGTAGTCAATGCCATCCTCGGTTATTTATTGTTTCGCAATTGCGCAGGCTTCGGTGGCAGCGTCGACCAGCAGACCATCTTGGACTTTGTCGACTCGGGGCACAATGTCTTGCTTGCGGTGAACACGGACGTCTCAGAGGCCCTGCGTAACCTGGCAGCAGAGTTTGGCGTGGATGTCGACGACCGGGGGTCAAAAGTCTTCGACCACTTCAATCATGCAACCCTGGATGGTCAAGAGGATCATACCCTCATCGCTGCCGGAGATCTTGTGGATGCTCCGGTGATGGTTGGGGGCCCGTACAAGGTGTGAATGCTAACCTTGAAGTACCATTATTTGGAAGTTGGCCTGGGTTTTCAGCATGTGGCACGAATGTGGCCGTTGCTTAACCTGCCCATCCCTTCTGTAGGAGCCTGTGCTCTTTCGCGGTGTTGCATCCACCATCCCTGGTGACTCCGAGCTGGTGGGTGTGGCGATGGCAATATGGCCCTGAAAAGCTCTGGGTAGGACTTTAGGGCAACCTGCCGCCCTGCATCCATTGACCACAATCCTTGGGAATGTTCATTATGCCAAAGGACAGAATGGCGATTTTAGTGTTACCAGCGTATCATTCAGTCCATTCGGCTTATTTCCGGGGGGAACTTAAGAGGTTAGCATTAGCTTTTACCGCAAACCAGTGCCTAAGGGTTCTGGAGACAAGGCTAGTCCAAGGCTGCCCGTTTATATTGTTATGGATGGAAGGAGACGGACCAGACAGCAGCGTCCCCCAGTCGGGCGCTGGCAGAAGTGAACTGCCTGCCTTGTGGCGTATCACCTGACTGCAAAGTCATGCGGCCATGCTTCATGTAGGCGACAGTGGTCCTCGGGGCGCCCAGCACGGCCTACAGCTTCGTGAAGTCTGGCGTGCAGGAGCCGCCGACGCTTATGGTCGGCTCCGCAATTTCGCTGGTTACCGCGGTGCAGGTACGGAAAACACCAGACGTTCCGAGATCGCTTGCAGCAGTACTGCGTGCGGAGGGGATTTGGAAGTAGAGTGGATTGGCTTTTACTTAGGGTTAAGTACGTCAAATACTTGGAACCCAGTCCAGGGCATGTATTGGCGAGTGCTATTCTTCTATTCGCAACTAGCGGTGAATACCACAATGGGTGTAAAATGGGAGGATCTCGGGCATGTGGGCTGGTCAGTGCGTTGCGAAATCCTGATAGTAGTAAGCGGATTTAACTCCAATAGGATTGGGTAATTCAAAAGAGGTTGGTGGTGCCGTGGCTTTCTCCGTAGATATGAAGCAACAAACTTTCGTGGCTGTCGTTTCTCCCGTCTAGTTGAGCACTACGGTCGTGACACCCCTATTACGTGCGACTGCTGGCGCTTCCGCCTTTCCTGCTTGCGCGAGTTCTTCCCGCTGTGATTGGGTGGCTTGGGGGTCTTTGCCGGGGCTCGCCTATTTTCCTATTGTTGCACCAAGAACGCTTTGCGTGGGATATTACTGACCTTGCCTGCACTATGCTATATTGCTGAGTCAGGCACGCAACAATGCTCGCATGGTTGTGGCTGGATCTCTGGACATGTTCACAGACAAGTTCTTCGACGCCTTGGTGACCGTGAATGGCGCCAGGTAGGAAGCACTGCATAGCTGAGTACAAGTCACAGCTGTGACTACAAACGACGATAAGCGGCAGTTCAGGGCTGCTTACCCTGGGCGCCGCATGGGTGTGTCCCGCAGCTGTTGATCGAGCCGTTGGGACTCAGCTGCCTTCTTGGAATCCGTTGGGAGCATTGGGATTAATCAGATTGCGATGGTGCAGCCGCACAGGTTCCTTATCTTACCAGGGCCGCTGTGGCGCGCTTGCCTGGCACGCCGTCGGCGTCCTCGCTTCTCCTGCACCTCTTGTTTCCTAGCTCTGGTGTCGATGAACCGATTACATTATCTTGCTTCCTAATGCCTGTGTCATGGCCGCACCTAAAATCCCCGCGCAGCTCCCACACCGCCAACTGGGCGTTCACGGTGACGCTGGCCCGCTGGGCCTTCCAGGACCGCGGTGTGCTGGTGGCTTCCAACTTGCGTCATCACCTGCTGGGCTCAGACGAGCAGCCGTGGGGCTACAGGGTTAATGACGACGTGGAGTTCTTGGTGGACGTCGTGGAGGTGGAGGGAGGCGTGTCCAAGCCATATGTGTGAGTTAAAAGCGACGGATGGGGGGACGTATTTGTATGCAATCGGGGGTTGTATATGGATGGATAGATGGATGGATGGATGGACCGCTGCTCTTGTCGGTAGACCCTACGGAGACTTCCTTCAGGTCAGTGCCGGCATGCACGAGTTGCTGCGATCAAATATTAAACCGTAAGGAAAGCTCCATTTATGCCCCTTCCTACTTCGGTTCATCCTCCTGAAACAGGGCCGATGACATTCAGCTGGAGTTCATTATGCTCAATCCTTACATTCGGCAGCCGCTGCAGCATGACGGCAAGGGAACCTTTTCTCTTCGCTTCAAGGTGGATGGGGAATACGGTGAATTGGCTGTACACGACAATCTAGCTTGGCTCCCTGTTCTGAGGTTTCGCCATGGGCGCGTGCCTTGCAATAGCCACGGACATTGTGTCTTAACGTGCAGAGTCGCCTCTGTGGTACAGTCACAGATAGACGGATGTTGAAGGTTTCTTGCCGGGGACTGGGTGAATTACGGCCAGCCATGCCGACTGTCCGGCCAGCCGGTCGCCTTATCGGCTTTCCGATTACGGCTTGACTAAAGGAGGGACGGATATGCTTTATTGTGAATATTGTTGCAGGTGCCTGATGTTTACGGTGTTTTTAAGTACTTTGTTGACTACTCCCACCGAGGATACTCGTATATCAAGTTGACACACCAGGTGGGTCCCCTATCATATCGTTTGAGTTGTGGTCCAACGCCCTGAGAGTGTGGCGATGGCGAGGCCCGAGTGCACCTGCTTGCTTTCGATTGCCACAAGCGGTGGTGATTCACGAGGGCGCTACTTCTGAGTGCGCTGCATTAAACAATCCCTCTTTTGTCCGCAGGTTCCAGTTCGTCCGTTCAAGCACAATGAGTACGAGCGCTTCCTGACGTGCGCCTACCCTTACTACGCGTCCGCCATCTCAGTGATGCTGGCTTTCTTTGGCCTGGGCTTTTTCTTCCTTTACAACAAGTAGCGTGCATTTGGGAAGGAGCATTTCCCTTCGGCTGCTTGCTTTGCTTTGCCACGCTGTGTAATCTCCGTGCCTTAATCGGCCAGCCCATGATTGGTTCCTCGAGTTTAATAGCGTTAAACCAGTGCACTGTGGCTGTAATGAGGAAAGATAGGTGGGCTACATGCATGTTAGTGCTGAGAGTGAAGCAGAGAGATAGGCGGGACGGACAGCCAAGGTTTAAAATTATGACAGGAATTGGGTTGACACGGTTTTTGGATGTTCGTGAGAAGAAAAATAATGCTATTGAAATAATAAGGCTTGCTAATTCTCTCGTCCTCGCCCCTCTTAACACTCTCGTTCCACCTCTGAATGTAACCTCCCAGATTGTTCTCTATTAGAGACCGCCAAAGCCATTACGCGGGAACCCGCCCTCACGCCCCGCAACAACATTCGGAAAGATGTATTCATCCTCCCTCTTATAAAAACCTAACCGGTTTGGTTGTTACTGAATCAGCCATTCAAAGCTATACATCGGAAATACAGCGGAAAAGGCATGCGCATGACAAATATGACATGACAGCTTATCGAAGGACGCTGTCCGCACTGCACAAGGTAAGGAATACAGTCTCCATCGCGAAACTGCATCCGCAACAACTTCACAATGTGGGAAACAATGTGGGAAACCCATTGCCCTAAAATCTTCTTCACCCTCAGCACTACACACCTCTCTTGCCCAACGACCGCGCGAATCCGGCCGCGAAAACTCCACTCAACGTACTTCCATAAAACTCCGATACCACGTGTGCGAGTACGTGCACACGGGGCGCCCCCAGGGAAAGAGCAGATAGACGTTACAGATACACATCGCACGAATCGTATTGCGCTTCCGGTTGGGGAACACCATACCCTCGACGACAGCTGATGAGCACGCCTTAGCACGCGGCACGGAACGTCCCCGATAGCCTTTGCCTCGCGGACCGGACAGATGGGCACAAACCCTCGCGGCAGGCACAGCAGCCCTGCTGACAGATCACGATGCATTGCTGCACACGCGCTCAATTTGGAAAATGGGTAAGCTCTTTTTCAATGAAGGTGGCGGCGAGTAATTGCAATAGGCCGATGGAGAGTTATGTAGGTCGCGCGTGAGATCGCCAAAATGACGGACCGGACTCCCCGGCTGAATCGCCCATGTCGCTCACCACTTCGCCAATCATTTCAAAACACGGATGTTCTCAACTCTTCAGCTCGAGGACTGATTAGGTGATGGGTTGTAGCCCGGGTACGTGGGCGTGCCCATGCTGGCACCCGACACCGGTGCCAGAGGGCCCGACGTCACCAGCCGGGCACTGCCGTTATGCAACCCTGCAGCCAGCGACGGTGCCGGCACCGGCTGAGCCAGCGGCATTGCGCCTGCCGGCACCAACGCCCCCGTTGCTGGCGGCGGCGGCATGCCGTACCCGCCGGAACCGTATGGCAGTACAGCCCCGGTGCTGGGTGGCACCATGGCCGACGTGGGCGGCGGCACGGCGGTTGCGTCCAGGATGACCAGGCGGCCGGCCTCGTCTGTGCCCCAGCGGACCTGTGGATGGAAAGGTTGACCAGGGGATATGACAGGAATGATACCACTACCTCTTGATTACCCTCCCTGCAATATCATACTTTAAAAACATCGCGGCCCTGACGGGGCCCTGAGTTCTCCTTACTTCCCCGTCCCCATCCTGACTTCTACCCTCACCACCCGAGGTGAGGACTCCCTTTCGCACCTTGTACGTGACCTTGGTGACGGGGTTCGCCACCAACTCCGCACCAATGGGGATTTGCAGCTTGCTGCCGTCATCCATCACATGCGTCACGGACGACTTGCCGGCCGCCGTGGCTGCCTCCATCTCCGCCTTGCGGGCGATGTTGAGGAACACCTCTTCCAAGCTTGTGAGACTCAGCTGCACATCCGTGATACCGAGAGATCCGCGGTTGGCCTGAATCAGGGCACCAGGAGGCGAGGAAGAGGCAACCGCGGGAAGGAAGGCGCGAGGCAGGAAAGAATATCCAATGTGTTACTCTTGGCGATTTCATACAGGCGAAAAAAAGCAGGGGCAAGAGGAGGCGTACATAAACGAGATGGATAACGCAATATAGAACAAGTAGGGACTTTGTTTTCCGGCCATCATCCCCAAAGTCATCACTAAAGTTAGCAGACTCCCAATCCACGCCAAAACGCCACGCCACCCAAATCCCGCCCCACCTCCAGCTCAACCAAGAAGCTGTTAAGGAGGGGCTCCTTCTCCCGGTCGACCAGGAAATGCATGTAGGCCTTGGACTCATCTACGGGAGCCAGACCCAGACGCTCCTGGGAGGGGCGGAGACGGAGGAGGGGGAGGAGGCGGTAAAATTTAAGAACAACACTGCAAGACACAAGTATTACAAACGCAAAAGACGACAGCTGAAAAAACGGTTTATGTCATCTTAGGAGAGGTGAGGTGAGGCTATGTGTCATAGAACGTAAGATGCATCCACAGTACTGGCCACTACGAACCCGAAGCGCAGCCGCCCACCTGGAAAAACTGCTTAACCACCGCCGCCCGCCTCTCCACCACTGCCGTAGCGCTAGGCTCGCGCGTCGGTGCCGTCGCCGCCGCAGAGCCCACTGTCGTGTTGCTGCCTCGACGCACGCCGGCGGTGGCGGCGGTGACACTCACCGATAGCGTGTATCCCGACCCGAAGCGCTGCTTGAGCCGCAGACTGGTGCCGATGCATCTCAGCTTGCCTCGCGCCATGATGGCGATGCGGTCTCCAAGGATGTCGGCTTCCTCCATGGAGTGGGTTGTCAGCACTATGGCCCGACCGGTCTTGGCCTCCTGAATGATGTCCCACACGTAGCGACGAGAGATGGGGTCCTGCAGGGGGCATGGGGTCACAGAACGGAGGGCAGAGGGGGTTCAGATGAACCACTGACGACGGCAGAGGGCAGGGAGGGGGGTTAAGAAGACGACGATTTCCAGCGTATGGGAATTATGGCGGTGGCGGGGGAGGAGGAAGGGAGGGAAAGAAACGGTGTCGACAAATGGGCGCCGAACGGAAAGGACGAGAAGAAGATGGCACGGCACGGTCACGTCACATTCTTCTCGCTTTCAGGCATTGCCATCTCCACAGTTCTTTGCAGTTCCCTTCCCCTCGCCTATAGTCATATTTCATCCCTTCATGGCAGTGTCGTGTCAACTCAAGTCAGGGTCTAATCATGTTTCCAGTGTCTGTCTGTCTGCCTGTCTGTCTGTCTGTCTGTCTGTCTGTCTCTTTAGGTCGCTTGTCTCTGTTTTCCTCGACCTGGGAGAGCTGCTCTCCCGCCCCCACAGCCTCTCTATCCCTTACCATGCCAGTGGTAGGCTCGTCCAGGTACACAATTCTTGGGTCGCCTAGCAGCGCAATAGCAACGCTCAGTCGCCGCTTCATGCCACCGCTGTACGCCCCGGCGCGCTGGTCGGCGGCGTAGGTGAGCTTCACCTTCTCAAGCAGCTCAGCAACGTTCTCAGCGACCTATCCACGCAGGTTGGGCGACAATGGGACGGGCGAGAATGGGAGGGGAAAGAAACGAGGGAAGCGTGCATGCATGGATGCACAAGGCACAGAGGAATATTGGGGCAACAGCGACACCGCGCCTGTTCAAGCGACAAGGCAGGGCGACAACGTGAAGTTGTAAATGTGTAATAACAGTGCTACCTACGAGGGCATGTCGGCTATCCTGGGCTTCTCATACCTTGCGTCGCGGCAGACCCTTGATGTGGGCGTATATGGAGAGGTGCTCCTGACCGTTGAGTTCGTTCCATAGGATGTCGAACTGGGGGCAGACACCCATCTGCAAAGATTTTTGGGGGTTGGGGTTGGGGGCCGGGAGTGTAAACCCGAGCGGAGAGGAGGTTGGGATAGAACGAGTAGAGAATCTACGGAAACATCTGATACGGCTGGTCCTGCCTTGTCGGCCCTGAAGGATTATTTCAGTCCCGCCAGAGCCCTTAGGCCCACCTACCTACGACCATCCGCATCTCTCTCTTTCTCTCTCACAAACACACCCACCCACCCACCCACCTCGCACCTCCATCCATCCGCTACGGTTTCATTAATATCTCCGGCCCCTCCGAACCCTCCCGGCCCCCCTAACATCCCCTACCTGCGCCCGGATGCGGTCCAGTCCTCCCGGGTTGCTGATGGGCTCCTCGTACACCAGCGCCTCACCGCCAGTAGGGGGAATGGCGCCTGGGCGGGAGGGAGGGTGTGTGCGTGTGCGTGTGGGCATGCATGCGTGTTTTGTCACGAACCGAGTCGCAACAACGAAAGGGGGCGCGGATGGCGCGCAGGTGCATAGGTGGTGCGCATGCGCGTATGTGTGGCATGTGGTATGGAGCACCTGGGGACATGACGGAACGAGAGACACCGCCCGGCCCAACGAGACAATGCGCTCCAGACATTCCCATCGGCCAAAACATTACACAAACACCATCCTGCCAAGCGCACACACTCTCACTCACTCACTCACTCTTCACACACTCCCGCCCGCACTATCCTGATTAAACTACCGGCTATTTCCTCTATCTCTAATATTCTTAACATCTCTTCCTCTAATCTCACTCACACTCACGCAGGCACCTACCAGTTAGGCAGTTGATGGTGGTGGTCTTTCCGGCGCCGTTGGGGCCCTAGCAGCAGGAGGTATCATGGCAAAGCGAGGACGGGGAGGAGGCAAGCCGGTCGGAGGGGTGGAAGACGGAAAGAACATTGAAAAATTGGGAGGAAGAACACGTACGTAAAACCCCAGTGAAGCCAGCCTTCTAGCGGGATTCAGAGGATATTGTAATGACGGAGGCGCGCGACGGAGGGAAAGCTAAGACCGGGACCAATGCAATCCAGGTCCGGCGGGCTAAGCACCCCCACCCCGTAGCTACAGGCGATGATGCCACATCAACACGCCACACATAAGCAAGCGCGGTGGCAGGTGAAGACACCACGCACATCACAACACCCCTCATCCCTCAAGATAACCATCCAAACCCTTCCACCACCGGAGCTACCGTTCCCAACGTTCTGCATGGCAGAAAGTAAAGCCTCTACCGCTGCCCTTAGGGCTCCAAGGGAAGCCTAGCCGACCCACATCTTCCATCCGTGAGCCCTCTACCGGACACAAACCTCACCAGCAAGCAGAACAGCTGGCCCTGCGGAATGCTGAACCAGGAGCCCTTCATCGCCCAAAAGTCGTCCGTCTTCTCACACGAGCAGCAGTCACAGCAGGAGCAGCACTTGAGCGACATGCCGCAAAAGCCGATACTGCCCTTGTAAAGCTTCGTCAAGCCGTACACCTCCACGGCATTCGTACGGCCGTCGACACCCGCGGTCCCAACCTCCTGGAGCGCCATGGCACCTGGACCGGCGCCTGCGAGAGAGAGCAAGCAGGAAAAATGTCGAGTGAGGCGGCAGGGCATAATTTAAAAAATATTTTTTTAAAAACAAATACCAAGACGTTTTCACGGAAGTTGTAAGGAAAAGGACTAGGGCATTTAGACCGGTGTGACGGCCATATAGAGAGGTGGTCAGCCCTACCTGTGCGGTGCTGCAGCAGCGCCTTCATCTTCTGCTCCTCCGCAGATACGTCCTCATCGAGCTCCGAAACCGGGGGCGGCACGGGGCCCCCACCCGCCCGGGCGCCATGATGCCCTGCAGCGCCATTCAGACTCTGCTGCACAAGCTTCAGCTTGTTCTGGGCCCTACTGCAGCTGGGGAACCAGTATCCGGGATCCAGGAAGTAGTAGAACGGCCTGGAACCAGTGGCGAGGAAACATGGATTCAGTCAAAGGCATGGGAATATGGATTCAGTCAAAAGCGGAGATGGGAGTGGGAGGGTGGAGGGGAGTTGGGCGGAAGAGGGGTAATAAGGCAGCAAGGAAATACAGGTCCAGGTCCAAGCAGCACGGAAAGCTGCTGCTGCTGCTGCTGCATCCATTCATCCATCCTCCTCCACCCTATGCCAACGTCCCCTCCCCTCTCGCTCTTCATGCCGCTCTTCATGCCGTTCTTCATGCCATGCACACCACACCCTGCCCCGGTCCTCCTGAGTACAGCACCGCACAGCTCACTCCGTCTTACTGTCCCTCCCGTCTTACTTGCTTACTCCAAACTCATTGGGCATAATGTTGTCAAAGTATACGGCCAACAAAAAGTAGCCAGCCCACAGCGCCAAAAAGACGCCGTAAATGGTATTCAGCGAAATGACGCAGTCAAAGCTCTTGTACGTGGTGGCGCGATTGTACGACGGCTGGTCTTCTACGTTTTTAATGTACGAGCAGTACGACGAGCGCTCGCTCCACTTAAGACCTGTGTGCGTGCGCATGGGGACAAGGGGATAGGGGTAGTTCATAGGATGTGGGTTGTTGGTTGGTCGTTGAGTCGGTTGTGCAGCAGGTCTTATGAGAATGAGAACCATTCCACCCAGCCACCCAAACAGCATCCAGACATCCCGCGCGCCACCCACCTGGATTGGTACCCACAGTGGCCGCGCCCAGATCACTGAAGCCCTTGGCGAGCAAGTCCCAGGGCAGCATTGAGAAAATAATGGTAATGGCCTGATTGGCCGTCCAAAAATAATCTGGACTGTACGGCACACCAAACAGTACAACGGCCTGCATGATCCAGCCGACGATGAAGATGGTGAAGCCCAGGTAAACGGCCACCTACGGTAAGCGAGGTTTAGGGTTTTTTTAGGGGAGAAGGGGGGTGAGACGAACCACGAGCGAGTGAAGGTGATGGCCAAGGAAAGACTGATGCGTCAGAAGTAAACAAACTGGGGAGGGGAGGAAAGGGGAAAGTGGCGTGTAGAGGGTGCGGAGGCAGAGAGGGAATGGGTGAAGATAAGTACCGCGGGCATCTGCACGCGAGAAGAAAAGCCCCAGATAACTCCCCAAACTCAAGCGGACACGTTTGGCCAGTAATTAGGGAGAGCTTGGCGTGGCGTGGAGCCACGGGGGGGTACAGAACATTTTATTTCGGTATCAGCTCGGCATGCCATGGAATCCCCTAAAGGGGCGGAACCACGTCCCCACCGGGCCCTGCCCCCAAACATGAACCCGCACTGTGAGGCCACCCTGTCTAAGCTCGCACGTGTTTTGCTCTTCCCACCCCGACAGCGGCGAGAGGGAGGTGCAAGATATACACACACACACACACATCTAGGCCCGCCCTGAACCCCCGGGGGCTTTATGAACACATGCCTTACTTCAGGCTGTCACGGTTGTCATTATTATCATTATATATATTTATAAATATTATAAATAATGTTGTTATTAAAAAATATTATTATTATTATTATTATTATTATTATTATTATTACTCTCCTCCCCACCAACTGGCTCCGCGCCTTTGGCCCCTCAGCACACCTGCGTCCTGCGTATAAACGCCGAAAGCATCATCGCCATCGAGCTCATGGACAGCTGAAAGAGGAAAAACAAAAAGAACAGCAGTCCGTAGTTGTTGTGCAGGAAGAGATCGAACTGCAGGATGAGGCCGTAGATGCAGATCGAGTGCGCCACGAAGAAGGACAGAGTCACCTCCCACACCCCCCAGGATAGCCAGTAAGCGCTGTCCGACATGCCCATGGTGCGAAGGGCCTGGGAGCGGGAAGAGGCGGGAAAGATGCGGCGGGGGAAGGGGAGGGGAGTTACATGCAAAAGCCAAAGTAAAAACTGGACAAAAAAAACAACACTTCTGACGTCCAAAGTAAAAACTGGACAAAGAAAACAACTCTTCTGACGTCCGAAGCACCAAGTGCCGGAGTCCTCTTGGGCAGGGGAGGAGCCGGAAGGGAGCTGACGGAGAGGGGATTTTCATATGCAACAAGTGTAGGAGCAAGGGGGGAAGGGACGAGCGGCGGGGGAAAGCTGATTTGCAACAAGGTGAAAAAGGGCGGGAAGTCGCGTGTGTGTTGTTGTGTGGATTGTACAGCGAGCGGCCAGATAATATGTTCTACAGGCCCGGTCCGCCCGCGAATACGAACGAACCTGTTTCAGCCCGAGCTCCTTCTCCGCCACCACCACCCCAATCTGGATGACGAAGCTGAACATGCAGGCAGCGAACACAAACGGACCCAGCACTTGACCAAGCACCGACACGGCGGCGATGGCGGGGTGGGCGAACTCCTTCAGGTTGGCCTCAAACTCCAGGGAGGTGGCCAGGGTGCCGGCATTAGGCAGCTGCAAGAAGCAGATGGGAGCGAACGCGGATGGTTGGAGAGGGGTGGGAAGAGGTGGACGGCGTGGAGAGCAATGAGGGTAAACGTCTTTGGGTCGCCGGAATTTCCTCCTCTCCAACGCCTCCCATGTCACCCGTAGGTGGGTCCCTCGCCTCCCTCCCGCCGCAGGTCACAGACTCCAGGGAGCCCCCCAACGCCCCAAAAAAGCTTACCCCGCTGCTGCCAAGCTGATATCTGGCAATCTCACGATGGACGGCGAACTGCAGCGGCAGCTGGATGAACTTGTTCGGATGCTGAGGGGAGGGGAGTGTGCGCGGGTGCGTGGGCGGGTAAGTGGGTGGGTAAGTGGGTGGGTAAGTGGGTGGGTAAGTGGGTGGGTAAGTGGGGTTCCATACCGACAGCATCAGCGGAGGCGGCAGAGGCGTTGGAGGTGCCAGGCTGTGCTGTGTGGGAGAGGTGCAATTCGCGCACTCGCGCGGGGGAAGGGTAAGAAAAGGGAGGGTGAGAGATAGCCAAGGGTGAGAGATAGCCAAGCCCCCCATCTGCTATTGCAAAGGTATGGAAAGAGGCAACACGCAAGAGAGGGCGGGTGGTGTGGATCGGGTAACGATAAGAATAGAGGGAGCGGTCTCGGCTCAGGAGGGCGACGTATTTCGACAGAGGCCCCACTGTACACCCCGCGTCATACCATTCACCAAATGAACGGAAGCTACCCCCACGGCAGCTAACCCACCTGGAACTTTCCCTTGAAGAATTTACTCTGTAGCAGTTTTGGGGTTGGGAGTTTGGGGGGGGGGGGGATTTGGAGGAGAGAGGGCGTACGGAAGTAGGTGAGGGCGCGTGGGAAAGAGAGAAAGCGGGGAGGATGGGAAATAAGTAAATAGGGAGAGGGGGAGCTCGGAATGATGTCCCGGCCCTCATACACACACACACACACACACACACGCAAGAGAGTTAACGGAAAATACATGGATGAATGGATAGATGTCACAAGCTTCAGAGAGCTCATACGATTCAGAAGAACACGAAGGCTCAGGAATCGCTTCAATTGCGCAGAAAATGCGTATAAAAAATTAGGAGAGCGCACAGTTACGGCCGAAACGATTACATAGATACTAATGCCTGGAGAGAAGCCCTTCATAACGATTGCATCGAATCCTTAATAATCTCAATGTCCGGCAAAAATAGTATTTCTTCATACATGTCTGCCGACGTACCGTGGTATTGGTTTGGATAATGAAACCCTCGAGAGCAGACCCGGTCTTCTCAAAATGTACGGCACTGAGTGCGCTGTCCGGGTTTTTAAAGAGGTAGTCCTGGATGGCGCTGCGGTTGGAAAAGCCTCGAACCTGTACGGCACAATTGTCGTACGGCACACGTCGTACGCACCTTCTTGAAACAGCGCATTCAAGCTCGCATATTCCGTATGGCACAAAAAAAGGTAGCAGCGTATTCAATGAGAGGGTCATTTTACGGAAAATCCGTACATGTAGAACAGACACGTACAGGAAAACGAACCCACTTGATGTCCGCCTACATGTCACATCTCAGCCACCGCACCCTAGGAGACCTACAGACGTGCAGAACCCATAGCGTGGTGCAGCCACGGCCACAGCCACTGTACGTTCTCACCTTGATCGGGTTGGAATTCTTCTCCTGGACACCTTGCATGATGAGCTGCAGTACACATACGGGTCGGTTGACAGAAGACAGTTAACGCTTATACTTGGCTCGTCCAATGAGCCAGCTAGCACAGAGTATGTTCAGTAATGAAACGGACAGTTGCACAAAAGGACTTGGGCGGTGGCGGTAGGTAGGATTAAGATCACGGTGCAACAGCAAAGTTGCTGCTACGGAGACCGTACTCCAACTTCCGAAATGCCGCCGTCCCGTTACTAAGAACCCCCCTCTCTCTTCGTCTCTCTCTCTCTCTCTCTCTCTCTCTCTTCCCCCTTCTCTTCCCCCTTCTCTCCCCCTTCTCTCCCCCTTGCCTCCCCCTTTTCCCCCACTCTAAAAGTACGCCACTTCCCACAGCATTCCACCTTCCTTTACCTGCCGGCCGTTCCAACTCCTCCCCCAACACACAGCACACGCTCGCACTTCCCCACACTTACATCCACAATGGGGTCCGGGGAGGGCTGATACAGGACCTCCACGCAGCCGGCCTTGCTGCCAATGTACAGGTCCTGAAGCAGGGAAAATGGAACAGTTGGGACGGCGGCAGCAGCAGCCGCAGCTGGAATACGTTGGGCTAGGAACAGTAAAAAAAACAAGGCCGTCGGGAAACACAACAGCAACAGCAGCAGCAGCAGCAGCCGATAACAACAAGCCAAGCGGTAGATGTAGCACTTGTCGTATGAGCGGTGGCCATCCACAACAGCAACAGGAGAAGAAGCAATGCCGGCAGGTACAACAATTTAACCCTCCCCAACACACATCCTCACACCCCAGCTCCGACACCTTGGCCCGGGCGCCACCCGGCCTGCATCCCACAACAGCACCTTCTCCCAGCTTCGGTCTCCCGATACTCCCCGACTGCATTCCCCACTGCCCCTCCTCCAACTCCCTACAGCTGTGTAATTCATTGCCCATTACCCAACTACTGCCCCACATCCAACTACTGGCCCACATCCAACTACTGACCCACATCCACCAATCCGCCACTAACAGGGCCATCGACATGAGCGCCACATCCACCACTCGTAGCGAGAAACAATCCTACTACACACATTCACCACCCACACGTATCCACATCCAAGCCTTACATCCAACCACTCATCCAGTCCCCATGCAGACAAACGCACACGACTGCACCTGCGAGCACTGCGGAATGGAGCCGATTCCTTCAGGTTGCGGGCTGGCCACGTCCTGGAATGCCGAGCTGCTGCCGTCATTGGCCTGAATGGCCTTGTCAATAACCAGCGCGAGGATCAGGAACAGCAACGGAGCCAGGATGCGAAGAATGGTGGCACGACGGTTGCGCCACGCGACGAGCGCTGAGGCCAGAAACAGGGCGGGCGGTAAAGAGGAAGCAGGAGACAAGGCAACAGGTGAAAGAGGTTTGGGCTAGGTTGGGTTGGGTTCCGGATGGAGCCAAAGTTTGGCAAGAAAAGGGACGCAGACAACGAAGACCTGATGATGAAAACATGGGGACGGGTCCCCAGACATGCGGGCGAAGTTGCCCACGCAGCCGGGAGGGGCCACATGAATTAGCGGAGCACTGGGAGCCACGCGCATCGGCCAGTTCGTTTCGTCCCAACAAAGCGTGCGGCTAGTCGACGCCTTGAAACCATTGTTCTGGCCATGATTGAGCAGAGGATTGCTGCCCGCTGGCAGGCACGGATGTAAACAAGCCGTCTACCACGTCCCAAAAATAAAAATAGACGTGGATACCAAGATAAATTGATTCAATATATGCATTATATTAGGCAGGAGTGGCATTATGAGTAAAGTTGGAGGTATGGCGCAAAGGTTGCAGTCATAGGTTTGTTTGTTTGAGCAACGCACCATTTTTCTTGTAGAGCACGAGGAATTGCTGTATGGGACGAAAGCTGAACAAGAAGTCGAGCACAGCTTCCCAGAAAGACCCGAGTGCTCCCATAGCTTCTGGCTTGTGTCGATGCGATGACAGTAACGTTGCAGCAAGCCGTACAATAATGCAGAAAATCTAAAGGCCTCTATTTTGATTCATGCAAAGAAAACAAAGTGTCCCTAACGCCAAACAGGAACGAATAACATTCCAGATTCCCAGGCCGCGAGGCACAAATGGCCCAGGGGAGTAAAAATTTAACTAACCTAATCCTGCTTTGGATGGAACGGGGCCTTCTATGACCAGTTTCATTGTAGGTAATTGTCGTACCCTGGCGTAATTGGAGAAGCGATGCAAGCAGCACATATCCATATTATGGCTAAATGCGCAAAGCTAATGGAATCCCAGGTAGGTGTCCCTGGGTCCGTTAACGTTGGTTGCTAGGGGATAATGAGCAACGAACTAAGGCGGGTGATCTGACCTCATAAGAAAAGCTGTCGTCTATCTACTTCCAGGGGAATTTTGAGCAGTTCCGTATGAAACCATGAAACCCCTGAGGTCCAAATGGCCTGAAATTTGTTGTTTCCTAACATTCCGTTACTAGAAGTCGTTGCTAATCGGCTGTTCGGCCCACCTAAGCAATAGAGTCTTGCTGAGTTGCTATTTGCTGTTGGGCTGCGTTAGCAAGTGCCAAAGTCTATAAGCAGTCGTATGATAGATGCACGGTTTGGCCGGCCCTTGTCCAACTTAAACTCCATATGCTAGCTTTCCAGGCAACGGATAAGGCTACCGTGACATCTCTAGGTTGTTGCGTTAATGCGTTAATGGGTTAACACAGAGCACATGGCAACTTAAAGCCTAATGGCTTTGTTGGGCAGCAGCTGGGCAATGTTGCTGCAGCCGGGCAATATTGCGCAGCCACAACCGAACCTTCCATACCTACGTCCAGAGATTGTGATCTTGCCGCATAACTATCCCAGACAGCTGAATTGATACTTAGATATATTGCAAAGCTATGAGGTACAAGGGTCTCGGAGCTGAGAGTGACGCCTCCTATGACGCAATTTTATGCAGCATTTGTTCATCGTTGCTATGTTATGCGCTATTCCTGGACGCGCAACTTGGCGAGCACATTCTGTCAAGAACAAATTGCACTGAAACCCTCCTACTGCAAAAAATGCAAGTTAGCACCTTTCAGGGGGGTCGAGCATCGCGTTTTGCGACATTATATCGCAGCACTCCACACAGACACGTTTGTGTGCAGCGACGGATGGTGCGAGCCGAGCCTGAAGGCAAGCCAGGTGCGTTTACGTTTGAAGTAACTAGACCTTGAGAGCTCAACTCTTCCTAAGAGAATTTTTTTGTTGAGACACCCAAGTGTCATCGCGCCCTCTGCATCCTCCCCGCGCTTTCCAACCTTCAGATAGCAGCTTCGAATCGCTGTTTTCTAAAGAGCTGCAGCGAAGAGGGTTGTCGTCTGTAGACGATGAGGGCAGCTCACGCCCCGCTGAAAACGCTGGTTCATCGTCGTCGGGTTCCACAGGTAGGTCCTCGTGGTTGCCACCTGGGCCAAAAGTCCTCGCAAGGAGATGGCGGACCAAGCCCGTCGCGTTTGCGATACGCGCCGTTAACGGCTTGTTGCGGCGGCTCTCCAAGCTACTTTGAATATACCCTGTAACGAAACACGCCTCAGTTGACCCTCGAAACCTCTGCCATGACTATTTCCCATTGCCAGATGCCCAATCGGCACGTCTGAAGTCATCCTGAAATCGGTGTTCACAATTTCCCGATCCCAGTTGACCCTCCCTCAGCCCTCATGCAGCCAAAATCCCTGCTGCTCGATTGCGGCGCCGCCCGCTTCACCAGCTGTGTTTTTACCCTCTCCGTTTGCTTCTTCTCCTCCTCTTCTTCCGCAGGGCCCTTCGCCGGTAGTGGTGGCAGCGGGCCAACTCCGGGCGCCAACCCCTTTGCTTCCAGCAGCGGCCCCAGCAGCAGCACTCGGACACGGCCCCGCTCGGCGCCTCCACCTAAGGCTGCCGACGCAGAGGGGGACCAGCGGCAAAAATCCATGGACCTGGTCAATGAGGGCTTGGAGGTATGGCCATGGTAGCGGGAAAAGGGAACATGGGACAAGGGGACCAGCTTTTGGCGCGAGTTAACCGCGTGCCTTCTTGGTCCTAGTCTCGCCTCGGCTTTCTTCAAGGATGCACGTGGAAGTGCCCTTCCCAATAAATTCACCGTGGGCACCTTGTAACGGGCAAGCAAGTGGGGTACGCGGCCTGGCACACGTTTTTTAGCCATGAGAAAATGGCCGGGTATCACCTTTAATTGGGCCTCTTCAATTTTCGTAAAATCATTCTTCAGGATACTCCTTGCCAGGTGGTTCGCGTGCGACCAAGGATGATCTGGGTGCAATACAAGGGGCTGCCTTTAAAGGTCACGAGACCCCGTGTCCCCAGGGCCGCACGTTCGCCATGCCGTCTCAAAGAGGAGACGTTCCGATACCTAATTACCCGGTCGTTTGCTTCCGATGTTGGTATGTTTGCAGGGCCTTATCCCACGAGCTAAGGTCCTACTACAACTGGGGGGTTCTGTGTTCCTAGGCTTCTTGCCATTCATGATAGTGTTCTCCCTACTCTTTACGGGAGTGTACAGCGTCTTTGGGACGAACTTCGTACACGGCGGGCGGGAAATGATGAGCCCACCCACGTACATCGACCCAGAGCGGCTGTTGAGTGAACCCACTGTTGATCCGTACGTGCCGTACAACAACAACCCATATAGCAGCCCTGACCTAAGGTAATTGTACATTCCGCCTAGGACGAGCGCGATTGAGTTGAACGGTGCTAGGTCGCGTTGAAGTTGCGGGGCGCTGAAAGGTGTTCGCTAGTCGTATCAGCGTGCATTTGCTACTGCGCTTAGGTGGTACAGCAGTGTGTACATTAGGTTATCAGTTGGTGAATTAAAAAATTTCGGAGTATTCCTTTTGAAGGGGTTTCATTTGGTTTTATTGTTTTGTGTGCATTGGCAGTTGCACATGTATATTGCGCAACCAGACCATGTGTACTTCACCCAAGCATAACTACATGTGTGTTGGCTGGTGGGTGTTTACTTCTTATTCGTTGGTGAAGATTTCGAAAATCCATTGCATGAGCGGAACGTGGAGGTTGATGACGAGTGCTGCCACGCAGGAGCGGTAGAGTGAAACACACACATTGGCATCTGCATAACCTTTTATGCAGATATGTATATGTGTTCGCGTACGTTACAATGGCTAACTTGCCTGCGAAGTTTGGAAACAGCACTTGTAGTTGCCTCGACATTCAATTGTGACCATAGTGATTTACGTGTATTGCGTCCAAGATTGGACGCACCGACACGGTCTCCATTTTGGCACACTCATGGAAGGAGAATGTACAATTTTTGGATGGCTAATGTCATTACGTGATTGCGACGACCAGCCAACAAGGTGAGCCAATGAATCCCAATCCCCAACTATGTTTTAGATCCAACGTCCGCTACACAAAAAACAGCATACCTCTTCCACAGCTGCTGCAATGATCATTAGCAGTCGCATTACATTTGCCAACGCCAACAACTAAGACTGCGGTAGCATCAACCCAACGGTAAATCACGAGGTCATGTGCCAATTCACCCAATGAGAGGCATGGGCCCCTGTACTTGAAGTATGGCGTAGCGATTCTCTAACATGGCTATGGCCCGTCGTACGCAAGTCAAAGCATCATGCGTCATGGATCAGACAAAGGCGAGCCACAAGCAGCGGCGACACTTTCAACGCCGAGCTTCCCACATCCTCGCATATTACGCTCCTTATCCTTTCTGTGTCTATCTGGAATCACGCCGATGATGCTGGTACGCACTCACGTATGCGCACGCGCTGTCGTGTCTCACTCGTTATTCCATTTGTGCAGCCACAGAAAATCCCACCTAGGAACTTCCCGGCAGACAGACCGACGGACGGACTCCACGGTTCTAAAGGGACCCAAGCCTGCCACACTGCATTTACTACCTTCTGCGTCTGGCATGGCCATACAGCTGTACGAAAGCTTGTACGGGAAATTGGGTCCCGCCGCCCATCGCTGCGGAGTAACCTTGATGCGCACACTCAAAGGGGTGTTTTACACGCGGACACGCGGGATGCGGGAGGCCTTGCTGTTCTCAGTCGGGCTGAGGGCGGTCGAACTCGGCTTCTGCTGCTGCTGGGAGTTCATGTCCAGGGAGGGGTGCAAGGGAAGGGTCGACTTCAGTGTGCAATGACTCCGACTTGTGGTCGTCACGCAAGGAGGGAGGTTGGCAGCATGAACGACCATGAACTGGGCGCGCTGCGACGAGTTATGGCCTTGCAGCGTAACCAAAGCCTTGATCCATTAGAGAAAGGTTCTAACAATGCAAGGTGCAGCCTTGTCTGGTACACACCACTGGAAAAGCAGGGAGTACCAGGGACACCAAGCCGAGAAACATCACGCCAATAGGAGGATGGAGGCCGCCAGTTGAGGTCCAAATGGCATCACAATCTTACCGGCGGCGTCTTGCCGGACTTGGACTGCCGAAGCGGCTGCTGCCCGGATCGAGATGTGGCGGTGCTCTTGGGCGTATCACACTTCGTCGCACGAACGTCGTCGGCACCGTCATCATCCACGCCGCCGCCACTGCCGCTGTCGGCACTGGAGAAGTCGAGCTTGGAAGGCTTAGGACCAGCAGAATTCGGTTTCGTGGGCGTCGGCCTGCAGGAGCGCGCGGATTACCAACACCGTCAGGCACAGGGTCCCGGACTCCCCATTTCTTGCGGGGTCATTACCTCACCTCCGCACCTATCTGCGAGGCACTTCGACGAGCGCCAGGACCCCACATCTCATCTAGCCGCAATGGCCTCGATGCACGCCGCCATCCCCCCAATCCGAACATCGCAGTGGGCGACAAGATACATACACGATACAGAATGTACTCACTTGCTGGAAACATTGGCTGCGTCGCCCAGGTACCGCCGGAACAGGTCCTGCGCCGCATTCTTTACACAACCGCTTGTCGATCCAGCCGCTGTTGCTGCTGTATCGTCACCGTCCTCCATTAAGCCAGTTTTGCTTACCATCGGCGATGGAGATACCCCTACGGCAGAGGTCGCAGCTGCGGGCGACGAGTTGAAGACGGTGGTGGTGGTGGTGGCGGCGGCCAACACTGCTCCCGCGCTTGAGCCACGGCCAGGCGGCGTCTTTTGTCCCCCTGGCGCCTGGCTGCTGGCGGCTATGCGGCCGGTGGTCATGTTGAGACGGTTAGTATTCTGGTGCGGTGCATTGGTAGCTTCAGAACCGGCGGCAGCCTGTGCGGCCGAACGCAGCGCTCCTGGCGCGAAATCATTGCTGCGCATAACCTTCGAGGCCGTAGAGCCACCGCGGAATACACCGCCGTCGCGTGCACTCACAGGCGGTGCGAGCGACATGCGGCGCACCGCATCAGTGACAGAGCGAGGCGACAACATGGGGCCGCCGCCGCCGCCACTGCTGCCGGCGCTGGCGCTGGTGGCAGCACCGCCACCAGTAGAAAGCGTCGGCCGCCCCACCGCACCTGCCCCTGGAGCTGGACGCTGCGACAGCCCTGAGGTGCTGGCCGCGGCCCGGGTGGGCCTGCCGGTCGGTGCAGCAGCACTGCTGCCAGACGAGGGGGCGGCTGCGCCCTTGGGCTTGGTTGCCTTCTCCAAGGCCAGCTGCTCCAGCTCAGCCTCAACCACTCGCAGCTGTGTCTCCTGTTGCAAATGAAGTGCAGAAAAAGTGTATCGATGGTTTATATGTACACGTGAATGAAAGGATTCCAGCGACCGATATGACAATAAAGCAGCGCATCATGCATATCTATATATATAAGTACTACGAAGTGCTAGCGAAAGGTTCGTTGGGAGCCTTGTAGCAAGACCGGCTTGCGGAGACAGTCGCTACATTTTACCTGCAGGACCTGTTCGTCGTAGAGGAAGGGGCCCCCCTCCTCTATCTCCCATTCCTGCAGGGCCGCCAGCAGTGACTCCATCATGGGTGCCAGCCGCTCTCGCAGCTTGGCTGCCTTGATGGCACGCTGCATGTTACGAGACGCATCACGACCCTGCAGCGAAACGGCCCAGGACACCAATTTGATACTCATCAGCCCGAAAAGCACCTCCTCTTCCCTTGCAACATCAGCGTTGCGCAGCGCTAACTAAAAGTTAGCAGCTAAGGTAAAAGAAAGGAGTAATAGAAGAGGAAGACAGACTGGTTCTCCGAAATCGACCGTCCGCACTTCCTACGCCTGGTGTCCTTTGAGCGTCACTTTCTGCTGACAAGGCCATCGTTCATATTCTACCTCGCGAATGGGCCACCAAGCCCAGACCAGCCGGACTCATCGCTCCATCCCGATTGCACGCCAGCATTACATACCTTGTAGCGGTTCTCGTTCTGGTTATAGGAGCGCAGCCAGGCGCTGTCAGCCTGGCCCTGAAGAAGCTCCTGCACCTGAGCCAGGATGGGCGCGCGCTTGGATGCGAGTACCTGAACCTCTGCCACCAAACGAACCAGCTTGGACAGAACCTGGGTCATCTGCAGAAGGGGCCCGGTAACAATCGGTAACAGTGGTATTTGGTTAATTAAGAGTACACGCTACACGCTATGGAATCAAATGCAAGGGCGACGTCGTTGCGAGCCAGGGCGCAAGGGACTGTGTGGATTTCGGCAGAATGTGCAGCTGATAAAGCTGGAGCCAGCCATACGTCTCGACCACGTGCTGCAACCGCTACCGGAATGGGAGATAACAAGATGCTGGGCTGAGAAGCTGCAGCGGGGCGGCGGCGCATCGCCCGGACCTGACTTCCCTGTGCACCGGCTCTCCAGGCGCCAACCTTGCCCGTCTGTACACAACCAGAGCTGCGGCGCCTAGAGCAACCGGACTGAATAGCAGCAGTCCACGTGGCGCCCTTGCCCTAGTTGCATGAACCTACCTATGCATATACCCCTGGAAAACACAATTCGTCACGCCGTGCCTTCACCTCATCATGCCCTCCATCACAAGGACTCACACAGCGTGTCGCAAAGGACTCACTTCCCCAATTCTAGTCCCTGCCTTCCGCGTCCGACCTCTCCCCATTTCCTGATCCCCTCTAATCCCACCTGTCCCGGCTTATCCAGCTCTGCCAGAAGTGGACCGGTGTGGGGCGGGCTGATGCGGGTGGAGATGCACAGCTGCTCCAGCTCGCGGGCCTTGGCCAGGGCCAGATCGCGCATGGCCTACAGAGCGATACCAGTAGTCAGGCCGGGCAAATGACGGCATGTGGCCGGCAGGAAGACATTTGTATACACAGTCATTCCCTTCCCCGGCAGCGCGCCGTGTTTATACATAGGGTTACGTCCCCTCTCCCTCTAGGGCCCCCACCTGCGCCTTGCAGCCCTCCAGCCGGTTGACCTCAGACAGGCACTGCAGGGAGAAGGCGGTGGGAACGTGTGGCAACAGGTATACATGGGCCTAAGTCTTCTATTGGGTTGAAGGGTACACCATGGGGTGCTAGCTTAGCACTCTTTACTGCCTGTGCATGTCGTGGTGGGCCGACAGCACGTGGGTCACAAGGCAACATCACTCACTGCATGGCGACGCCGTGCCCTTGCTCTTCAGCCACACGCACACCTAACCTTACGTACCCTTACGCTCTACCGCCAGATCTACCTTCATACTGCTCCTATACGCCAATGCTCACCGCACGGCCGTCAACATCTGGGGGCCTGGCCTCGGGGGGGGGGCCTCGTCTCCGTACCTTATCTAGCGTGCGCTTGTGCAGGCGCTGTGGCCGGTCGGGACTTAGCATCTTGGCCACCATGCTGCGCTCGGGGGCGTCCTCCGGAATGCTCAGCGCGTCCCACAAACTGTACAGCATTTCCAGCACGTCGCGCGACTGCGCTTCGCGATCCGTCTGAGGGGGTTTGGTGGTGGTTGTGAGTAACAGCACGATGGAGAAGGGTTTCTATGAGCCGCAGGTTCTGTACATGAAATCATGACTCGGCTTGTGTTACCAGGATTGGGGTGGAATACGGCTGCAAGATTGATTTCGCTTGCATGGTCTGGCGTGGCGTGGCGTGATCAAGTGAGACTTTAGATCGCTGCAAGCTTGGCTGCACTGTGATGCGGCGTTTAGCCTCCTGTAATTGTTCGCTCTACCCACCGTCCATACAGACGCATGCGACGAATACTTCCCAGCGCGTAACGGCGTGTTGGCGACGGTAATCATCCGCAAGCTAAAACCCCGAATCCTTTTCCAGCCCGGGCTTTAAAGGACCAGACCGAAACCAATTGGCCACCTTCTCGAAGGGGGACGCGAGGAAGAAGAAGGAGAAATCATCGTGTCCGACTGGCGCCAACAGATTTTCACTTGACTCGCCACGTCTCAGCCTACCTTGAGCCGTTGCATGTCTGTGATCTTGGCAGATAGCCGGTCGAACATGGCGTCACTGAGGTCCAGGTCTCCGACCGCGCTGACGTGCGAAGGGCTGCCCACCAGCTTGTACACGCAACCCAGGACTTCTGCTGACTCCTTCTCAGCGCTGCACCCGGGTTATCAGCAAGGGCGCGAGGGCCAGCCAGCGTGCCAAGAAAAGCAATCAGCTACGGTGACGATCAAGTGACGATCTCAAAGGGGCAAATGCGCACATTATCGGCGTCCCGGCCTAGCCTCCATAGCCCTTCCCGGAAATGAAGGCCCTAGCCCAATCCTAACACAACCATTACATGAGGCAGGCTTTGCATTCGCTGCCGCAGTGCCATTGCCCGTGCAACACAGCCGCATTCGCCCCTTTAAAAAAGCTGGCTTGTACGCATCATCGCTCTTGCAGGCCGCCTTGGGGGTTGTATTTCGCTATTAAGGGCAGGCTCACTATTTTGGACCCGGGGCCCCCGTCCCCACCTCAGCGAGCTCAGCGCAGGGTGCACCTCGGCTGCTGCCGTTGCGCAGTCCTCCCCCAGCTCCCGGCAGATGGCCCGCAACTTGTCCAGCTGCTCCTCCGCCCGGGACATCCGCCGACTCTGTCGTTTGGAGAGACAAGGAAACAGGAATCCCAGATATGATGTCCACTAGGAAGGACAGCTGGATGAAAGGACGCTCACACACAAAGCACCAGAATGGGTAAAATAATCTTCGCAAGCGCAAGAACTTGTAGTATTCGAAGATCATGATGTTAGCTTGAGCCACCGCATCCAAGCAGGAAGGACTTGAGCAGTGGGACTTTGGACCGCGTGTGGGCTGAGGCAGCGCAGTTGAAGGATGACCGCGGTGTGAAATCGGGAAAGACGAGGGCAGCGGGGTGTGTATGTGTCCCTGCCAAGCTGAAGTTAGGAGCTGCCAAATTTGGATCTGTAGCTGTCGCGTCTAGAGCCTCGGCTCCATCGTCTGAATCAATACCCATGCGCTCGCCCAGCAGTTTCTTGTCGAGTCTGCTGCCCATCGTGCCGTCCCCCCGCCGCCCAAAAGCGCGGGGATCATCCCGAGCGCTGCCGAACATGCTGAATGAGATGCGCTCAGTGTTACACTATTAAGTTCCGAGTCCCTGGTCCGCGTCCCCGGTTTCGCGGGGGCATCCGTAAGAGCCGGGGTGGCTGTGCGCGGTTAACTGTCGTTAGCTGATCCTATTTGATGTTACAGGATTAGGTCGGCTTTCCAGCGCCCTAACAATTGTCAGCACAACCCCTTTTGCTCCCCCTTCTGAGGCCATGCCGCATCCTTCGCGACGCCCGATCCACCATCAAATACAGCTCGGCACCAATCGCTGTCCAATCCCCCGTCACCGGATCACAAGTTTCCCGGATTATAGGTTCACACCTCGATGCTTCCGTGGCTTTTTACCCCTTCCGCTTTCCATTTGCTGGTCCTGTTTCAGTCAGCGGGTCGGTTTCTTTCATCTCTCATGCAGAAAAACACTTGCCTTATCCTCCATGAGCTTGCCGTTCTCCATCTGCAGGTACTCCAGTGCCCCCGTGGTGATGTCCATGTCCTCCACCGGCTTGTGCCGAATGCCCAGCTGCCGCTTGAGGGAAATGTGCACCTCCTGCCAAATGGCAAGGTTTGAGGGGGCGGGGGGCAAGGAGGGTCCGGAAAACCGGGGCTGAGTTGGCGATGGGCTGGGGACGATAGCTGTAAGTGCGACAGATACAGGATGTCGATGGCACTGCGCACAGCTCCGAGATGCGGCCGGGCTGGAGCGACGTGACAGGAGATGTAGACGAGGGGCTGGGAAACAGTGAACGAGATGACGCATATGGTGGTGCGCGTCTGTCCGTTGCGGCGAGGTTACGAGCAACATAGTCTATGCCCGTTTCCTCCTGCCGTTGACATACCATGAGGGCTTCGTAAGCCTGCACCCGGGCGGCCCGCTTGACGCGCCAGAAGTGTAGGGTTCCCTTGAGAGCATCGAGCGTCCGAAGAAGCGTCGCTTCGCCCTGACAGTGCACAGTGACACACACACCCCGCACCGAGCGGGCGCGCATACGTCAACGGCAAAATCAGGTCCGTGCCTTCATGGCAACAACTGCATGGCTTTGTCCCTTGAACTAATCGGCTTGTTGTGTTAGCGGTCGTGAATTTACCTCGCCAGTCATGTTGGGAAACTCTGAGGACTCTGTGGACTGCGGCTCCGCCACATCATCAAGCTCAGCCTTCATACTGGCTATTTCCGAAGAGTGTTGCTGGATTGCGGCCTGCGTGACAGCGAACGGCGCCCAGCTGAGGAACTTCCACCTCGGCATTTCCGGTCCAACCCAACGGCGTGGTCCACGAGCCTAAGAGACTCCCATCACAACGCCAAACCTCCATACCTTTATACTCTGCCTGTCAGCCTCTGCTAGTTCAACGGCTTGCGTCCACGCCGCGAGTGCCCGTTCCGCGGCTACTAGGATTTGCGAGCGACAGTCCTCCGCCTCGCTGCCCACTTGTCTCCATATGGCTTTCAGTTTTCCAATGCAAGCTCGGAAATGCGAGCAGTAAGCCTCTAGGTGCGCGTCAGCTGCCTGATTGGCGTCTTCGGTCATGTTCTGAGTAGCCATGGTAACGTCGGGGTAAACGTCAGCCTAACATTCAAGGCAATATTAAGATCATGTGCAAGCACAGTTAGTGACGCTGTTACAGTTCAGCTAGCTGCTTGAGCTCCATGACAGTATCTATGTTTGACCTTGGATCCCGAAAAATGTCTCAACGGAAAACGCCTGCTTGATGCGACTCCATGTTCACTGCAACTGAAAAAGGAGACGATCGGCTTTTTCTTGCTTGCAATTTCGAATACATCCGCCATGGGTTTGCAAATTGCATGCCTCCACGGTCCAACCATATAAAGGCTGGCCGCCCCTATGGAAATCCGTGCACATGTCAGTTGCATAATCTTGTAATACGGCATACGCACGTATCGTAGGAGGTTCTTCAGAGTTTCCAATCCAAGGCAACTTTATAACGCGCACAGAGTACAAATGTCTTGCGCAATTCGGTTCACAAAATACAGCACATGGAGGCAAGCCACACATTAGTGAGGAACTGACAGGGGGCACCAACAGCGAGCATTTAGTGGCCATAAGGACACTCGGGAAGACACCTCTTTAACATTAAGATGCTTGGATAACACCGACCCAAACCTGTAGGTATGTGAAGAGGCCGAAATGACCCATGGGTCGTGCACCAAGAGCCACGCGTCCCATAGCTAGAACGTGAGGCACCATAAGCAAAGCGCAATCGCAAAGCGATGCAACAGCGAAAATGCTATAGCAGTCGTTGGACCTAGGCATGAGCCCCAACAAGGTCAAACAACTCCACCTGTCAACGATAGCCCTTTCTACCTACAAGATTTACGAGAGCATACGCCAGTCGAAACGTTTTGCGACAGTTCAAGTTACCAAGCGATACGGGTCAGCAGCCGACTTCATGCGCGGAACGGAACCCAGTACTCATACGCGCCGATTCTGCCATACCGCCATAAAAGACGCCCTATTGCTGTACTGATCTGCGCACTTGCGCACTGCTTTCCCGCTAGCTCAGAGCCCCTTATTGACAAAATTGCAACAACAGACAACCTGCTTGCACTGCATCTCCCCCGTAGGGGACCATCGCACATCACCACGTCATGTCAGGCACACCCAACCGCCAGGAGCGGCCCCCTCTCGGCCTCGGACAAGCATCATCTTTTCTGCTGGTATCTGACAACAAAGCACGCTCGTGAACAGCGTCATACCTGACCATGCACACCATCACGCGGTTTCCTATACTCTAGCTCAAGTTCGCTGAACGTTTTGGTAAGGCCCACAAAAAAAGGAGGACTCAACCCCGATCGGCGCCCACTGGGCAGGGCAAGAACCACCGGTTCACCGGTAACATCACCTCGACCATCCCGATTGTGGCCTTCCAGACACAACAATAATACATGTCTTCCCATTTTACTCAACGCAGACTTACAAACCAAAAGCTACAGGAGAGGACGGGCATACGCATGGCACGGGGCGGGCAGCAACACAACCTTCCGCGCGCAAGCAAACAGATCTTGAACTCCAAGTCCGCCTGACCGCGTGCCACAAACACAACCCAGGCGGCCAGACCCGCCCATCCCTGCCGACGGCGCCCATTCCCTTGATCGCTCGAACGTCCGAAAAAGGAAAAAAAAGCCGAATCCGAAACCGATGGTCCCGCAAACCGCAGTTAGCGCCCCATGAGAACCAGCCTTGCACCACAGGCTCCTCATTAGTTTGCGGTCGACACCGGAACCCGATTATTAAGCGTGACCGCAGACACGTACTCACACACTCAGACGCCGGAGCCTCGCCCAGTAGCGGTGTCTTCAGAGGAGTGGTGAACGGGGACCCGCACGCATATACACACACGCGCTTATTAACGGCCTGTCTATCTTCGCCCTTCCGGCTCCGCAATACAACACATACTCATTCATTCGCTTGGTTCCTCTCGGCCAATTAGGGCGATGGACAACACGTCGGCGATGGTGGGTACAACTGCAGATTCGGGAGCCATTTCGGATCTGACATTCTACGCAGAAGCTATCGCGCACCAGGTGGGAACGAACGCGGTTGGGAAGGACAGCGCCGCTGCTGCCGACGGGACCTTAGGCGGCAATACCACGTTGCGCTCTCAGCCAGGCCCAGCCCAGCCGGCCGCTCATCCAGCCGGCTGTCAATGTCGCCATCCAGCCCCGGATGCGGGGCCACACAACGAAAGGAGGAAGAACAACAACGGCAGACGGCGAAAGATGCGCAGCAAGGCTGAGTGGGCGGATCTTGATGGATATACCTTTTGGGGAGTAGAATATGCCCTGTCTTTGCTTTTCCGCCCCGTGACCTCACCAACCGCCGCCACCACAACCATCACCCGCAAACCCTCGTAGACACGCTCAACCCTTTCATGGCCGTCCCTAATCCTACATTCAGCATTCGAGGATGCCTAGGTGGGCCATGACAAACGCGACACAAGCCCCTCACTCTAGCCGCTCCACGACCACCCTCATTCCTTCAGCTCCCCCTCCTCCTCCTCCAACTTGACGCCTGACGCCACTGCCCCAAGCCCTGGTAACCCAGGTGCCCCCGGCACCGGCAGCAGCATGCGGCCTGGCGCCGGCTGGCCAGTGGGACCAAGCTTTGACTCCAGATCGGCCTTGAGCGCCTGCAACGACTGACCCGAGGTCGCTATCATGCGACCTATCTTGCTGTGCTCGTATTCTGATAGCATTTGGTCGCAAATGGCGGTAAGATCCTAAAAGGCAACGAGGCACAGCGGGAAGGGGAATTCGGGAAAGGCGGAATGCGGGTAAGGAAAGGCGGAAGGGGTGTTGGTGGAGAGAGCGGGAAGGAAGTTTGAGCAGGGGCGGAAGGGTGAGCTAAGGAAGGGTGCATCGGCGAGCGCATTTCAATGCGACCGCAGACGGGTGCGAACATACGCCTGTCCGCTATTGCCGTACACAGACCCATCCGCTATCGCCGTATAGAAGCCCATCCGCTATCGCCGTACAGAGGCCCATCCGGTATCGCCGTACAGAGGCCCGTCCACTATTGCGGATGCAGATGCACTCGCATGGATCAGCATACATGAGATGTCCGCTGTCGCCGCCATCCGCTCGTAACTATGCACATACCCACAAAGGCCATCCTACACCCGCATCGATGGCCTGTGTACTGCGCTGGTTCATCCCCTTAAAGGGAACTAAAGGGGACGGCCTGTGTACATGAAAAGCAAAAGTGCATCCTCAGAAGCACACACACGCACACACGCACATGAGGCGAGATCTCGAACTTCTCAAAGAAAGCATTGCCACGCGGCAACTTGGTGAAGTGCGTCCCGTTATCTATGTTCATCAGATCAGCCATCCACAGCGCCGCCCAGGCTATCTTGGCGGGAGGAAACTGCAGGCACAGCGTCGTGCGCAGGCTGCAGAGGGGCGGAAGGGCAGCGCCGCGGGTTTTCTTAGGTGTGTGAGGAAGATTGCAATCCAGAGAACAGAGGGCGGGCTTAACAACGGAAGGACGACAGCTGCATGGACGAACGCAAGGGTAACTGAATCCGTTGGGAAACTTGAAGATGGAGATCAACGATTGGAGACGATGAAGGTGGGAGACCGCCGATGCATCGGACACCAGCTGCGAATGGGGACGCATCACAGAACACCGTTCTTACCGCTAACATATTCAAGGTTATGATTCATCAAAAACCCGTTTTTCATCAATCCAGTACAGGATGAAGAACAATCATCACACTTGGCCACGCATCATCACCATGCTTGATCTGAAAGTGTAAACGAAAGGAAACAAGCCCGTTTCCAGCTGCACCTGTCGTTAATGAGGTTGAGGGAGTTCTGCACCAGCGGTTTGTACGGCGAGTCGTGCGGCACATCCATAAGCCGCTGCTCCTCTCGAAACCATTCCATGAGCGGCTGTGGAGGAAAGGGAAACAGGTAGAAGAGGGTTTCAAGGGCAGGAAAAATCGCCAACCAAGACAAAGCCCAAACAGGATTGTGGTAGTAAGGATAGGAAAACCACCATCTTCGTAAAAAACCCAACCCAAACCCAGAAAATAAAGAAAACAGTATTTCATGCTCAATGCTCAGACAAAAGATCACAAAAAGAGGACATGAATTCCGTCACACTGCCGCAACGCCGTGCATGGCATGGAGCCGCGGAATAAGTTTGCCGTACAAACATGTTCCTGACGTACCTTGTACGGTTGCTCGACGGTAAGGTCGAACCCCAGCGTGTAAAGCACCGCGCGCTCCGCCTGCAATACCTCCTCTCTAAGTCGCTCAAAGTTCACCTGCGATAATGTACGCCCACCACAGCATCAAACAGGAGCCCGCAGCAACAGTACTAGCAAAAACGTTGCGCACCAGCAGCATCAAAACATGAGAGTACAAGCATCCAGTATCACCAGCTAACAAACCAATGAACCACCAACGCCGGGTCGCCCCCCTCTCCGGACCTTACCGGGTCTTCCAGAGCGCGCAGCGCCCCCGGGTTCTTGGAATGTCGTATCCGCTCCATCTCCATGATCACGTTTTTGAGCATTTTAGGGCTCTCCTCAATCTTGGCGGCTAGGAAAAGACACGCCGTAGCAATGAGCTGGGAGGCAGGTTTGGACGGCAGACGGGACGGCAGACGGCGCGGGGCAGGGCGGGGAGAGGTGGGCATTTTGTGCAGGATTGGAAGGAAGAAACCAGTCACGTGATCATGGGCGCAGGTACAGCAAATCAGCAACAGCGGCTAGTACAACAGCGGCGAAGACGCAGTTCAAGGACACAAAGGGACGAGACTATCAACCCACGTAGACTGTAAAATGCATACGCTTAGACACTTACAAAGCGGTCGTTTTTCTTCATGGACTTGATGGCGAAGAACCGGTGGCACAGCGTGATGCCCCCCGCTATCCCGCCCCATTGGGGACTGCAATCGGGGAAAATGGAAATGCACCAGGTGCAGGGTGGGATGGGGTATGGGATTCAAACAATTGGGAAAGCTGCATGAGTTTAAACAGAGCCATAAACGAAATGTGAATGAGTGTGGACCGGCAGCCATGGGCCGGCAGCCATGAGCAAAAGAGGGAATCACCGCATGGACGCAAGCGCGAGTCACGGATGCGAAGGAGCAGCACAGAGGTGGGCGAGCAAGATGGAGGCGGCAGGTCGTGAAGCGGAAGTTGGGGTGAGGGCGAGTGCCTGGCAAGCAGATTGGACCGAGGACGGCTGGCGCGCGTGCGGGGCCCTGTGCAATGGAGGGGACGGAGGGCCGCGCTTAGGAGTGCACGCTGACGTGGGCCCAAGCCTGATGCCAACGTGAGCGGCCTAAGGTAGTGGGGAAAGCATGTAAGTTATGCATGCGAACATGCAAGGAAAGTGGGATGGACGCATAAGGCCTCCAAAACTAAGCCGGGAGGCCTGATGTGGCAGGGATGGGCGCTGGTTAAGGGCTAGTGAGAAATGTGTGCCATAGGATTAAGGCAGGAATAGGGTGGTGAGGGAGACTGTGATCGGACCTTCTGCCGGCATGTCCGTAATCGCGCAGCGCAACTCCCAGCGAGACTATTTTCCCTTCTCGCCTTTCACCCTGAGCACCACCCGCATGGAAAATCCGCCTTGTCGCCGCCAGCCCAATGCCACGCACACGTACTCTGGAACCCCTATAGAGGACCTCCACTCCCACACAGACCCCGGGGCCCCTCTTATCCTACACACGTCATCCTCCTGTAATGTTAAAGCAGTCGTAAGACACCAGCTCTAAAGGGCTTGCTCACACAGAACTCAGCATTTACTGCTCACATTTTCAGAGCTAAGCCCGCATCCTGGATTAGCTTGCAGTATTGCCGCCGCCAGATGCGCTCCTTATCCGGGTCCAGTCCGTCCCGCACGGAGGGGTTTGTGGCCTGGAGATCCTCCAGGGAGCGGAAAACGTAGCGCGCAGCCTTGCGGGCCTTAACACTCGCCAGGTCCTGCTTGTGCTCGTCCTCGCGCTGCACCTGACGCTGCTGCGAGACATAGAACGACCCGTTTCCATGATCGCCATCGTACCCCTGTGCATACCCTCCATCAAGCACGTAGCTGTCGGGCTGATGCGGGAAACCTGGGAAGGCCATGGCAGCCATTCTGACGTTTTTTGGGGATACTAGCTGTACTCCAGAGCCTAAAGGTTGACTGTCGTGAAGCTCCCGCGGCTACCCTGGCCCCGCTGGCCGGCCTGGGCAGCCGCAAGCAGATTTCAACCTACAGGAGGCAAATGCTAGCAGTTTAGGTAGATTAATCAAGATGATTACCATGCAGTCTTTAAAAAAATTATCTAAACGTTGTTTTTTCAGAGGGGAAGTTATCGCAACCTAAGAAAATCTGACAAAGCTTGGCATTATATAGCACTCCCATGTAAATATTATTCAATGCTTAATTTAGTAGCTCATCCCACCACACAAGTTCTCTGAACGCCTTCCATAACGAGTCTAACCGTGCGTTGGTACGGCTTTAATATGGCGGAAACAACCGAAATGCCTTTGAGCACATCAGTTTTGAACCATCGACCATAAAGCTGTTTAGGTAGCTTATCTGGGAAGTCGGTGTCGACGCCTCGCCGCCGCTATCTATTTTGCCGACTTGTGTCGGTCCCATAGTTACGCTCCTGGCCTCAGGGCAGGCTTTCAGAACAGTAACAACGTGCCGCAAATTAGTATTTTGTGATTTTTGCCCCCATCTGGTTACAGCCCCAGCCACGCCGTCGCAAAATGCATCTCAACAATTCCTATGTAAAAATGACCAAGAAGGGCAAGGTCATGAAGGTGTGGCTTTCTCTGACTTGGTCGTGAGTTGGGGTGATGCAAATAGCCCACGGCTTGCGGGTGAAGCTTTAGGGGGAAAGAGTTGCGGGTGTATCGACCCAACCACCTGGCCCCACGACACAACGGACAGTTACTTCCATGGCTTTCCCTCTCGCACCACAAGTTTTGTGCGGCGCCGCACGCCGAAACGTCAATGCCATGCTCTTTGGATCAACCTCTGGACATGATCCTACACCGCAGGTGGTCAAGGAGCGCTACCTTCGCGATGACATATGGTGGGTCCGGAACATGACGGCTTTGAACCCAGTGAATTCTCCTTTGACCCACATCACAATTCTCATCCTGTTCTAGGCATTTGCTGCTCGAAAACGCGACTTCAGTTGTAGCGCACGCAACCCCAAATCCACGCGCTTGCGCCCTGCTAACCTCCGCCCTTCCCTGCGAGGCCGCACCACCTCCTCTGGCCACCAGCATCATCCACCGCCTGCCTTCGTACAAACTTCCCCCCCAGCTGCCCCCACTTTGGGCGCTGGCAGTTCCTAACCGAACGCAACATATCCTTAGGACTGCCTCTTTGGTTTCCTTGCATATGTTCCCCACACTGCGGAAATGTAAGACACACTCACGACGGATTGCCACGATCGCGATAAACCCACATGCAGGAGCGGATCACCCTTGGATGCGGAGTGCGACCCCGCCTCGCACAAGCTTAGCGGCACCGCCCCCCACTACTTACTCATCGACACGAATGTCGCTCTTCATCAGGTGCCTGGCGCGATTGCCTTACGGGGATTCTTGACGTGGGCTGTTGAAAAATACTATTTCTTGTGATGCGTATTGACATGTAGTGGGTTGCTGTACGAGGTTGATTGTGCCGTACGGGATGTTGGGGACTGGGGGCGCCACGTGATGAAAGTAGGCGCGGTAGCAGCACGTGGTAGCCATGAGCACGTGATGGACGTGGCCAACGCGACGCGACCTCACATCCGTTAACGGTTACAACTGCCAACGGGCACGTGCGCATTGCCACCTCACCGCGGTTGATTGATGTACAGCTATGCTCTCGTCACCTTTACAGTTGTTGATGGAGAAGTAAGGGACACGCGTTAACACGGTGATAGCACCATAAGTGAACAGAAAACATGATGATACTATACGAAAGGAACCTCACAAACCTGGGCCTACCCTGCTAGCCAAGGTGACGTGCTGACGTGGTGCCCGGTTTTCCGTACACATCACATCGTGTCGAAGCTGCAAATGATTCTTGCAGTTTTATCTCCACGCGGCTATGTTTGTTTGCTTGTACAGCTTTATGATTGATTTCTTCATTATTCCTATCTGCCGCGGGCCCGGTAATTCCCTTGCCCGACGAAGTCCCTGTGTCTCTCCCTAGCTTCACCTACGCCGCTTGCTGCCGGTCTCCCTGTTCGTGCTGCTGGTGGTTTCGGAGCGCGCAGCTGGACTTTTTGGAGCATGCGGCGGTGACGGACGTGATTGTATGCACCACCGTGCTCGAGGAGGTGAGTTCCGGAAGAGCGCGCGCAAAAGGAAAAAGAAAAAGTGGGAGAGGACAATTCTCACATTGTTGCTGCCAGCCGGACTCGAAGGGGGGCTCCTAAGGCCCCGCGATCATGCAAAAATGAGAGCGGCTAGGGCGGGCCTCGAGAAGGACACCGCGTCATGGCCCCCACATGGCCCCTTTCCCGTCCTGCTCCGGTACAGGTACAGCACAAGAACACGTCAGCGTATCAGCGGCTGCGAGCCGCATGTGCCGCCCCGGCTAAGCGCTTCTACGTCTTCGCTAACGAGCACCACAAGGATACGCATGTGACGGCGGCGGAGGGCGAGTCGCCCAATGACCGCAACGACCGAGCTCTGCGAGTGGCTACCAAGTGGTATGCGGAGAGGATTCCGCAGGTGAGTGAGTGAGCTCTGGTAGGGGGTAGGCGGGTGATAATAATGGCTGGTGATGGATGACTCCTGGGGCTTGGCTGGTGGTTGGGTCGATGCCGAAATGTCATGTAAGGTCAGGTCAATGGGGCTCAGGCTACTTGCCTTGGGCTTGTGATTTTGTGATGTCAGGTGGATGATCAGGTGATGGTTTCTTTGTTGTTGTGTGGTGTGGTGTGTTGCAGGACAAGGTGCCGGTCATTCTGTTGACCAATGATGTGGCAAACCGCGCCGCCGCGCTGGCGGATGGGCTTCGCGCCATGAGCGTCATGACGTACTGCCGTACACTTCGGCAAGACGCCAAGGAGCTGCAGGTAAGAGAGGTGCTCGTGGTGTGACATTTTTTGCTGCATCGAAAAACGGCAAGAGAACAGTTTTGTTTGCAGCTGCGCGATTTTTTGTGGGGAAACTGCTTAAGCGAGAGCGTCTTCCTTACTTGACCCTTCTTCCCGGAGTAAATCTCCCTTTCTCTCTCCTCTGGTGTTGGATGTAGTTCATATCGTAATAGGAGCAGTAACAGGACATGCAATTAATAACCTGGTTTGCAAGACCCGGCGATGTTACCCTTTATCGGAATTCTGTAGTTTCTCGGGTTCGGCCAGGACTTTGTCTCCCCCCGGCTGTGCAGGACCTCGTCGCTTCCTCAGCAGACGCCGAAGAGCAGGAAGCAGCAGCGGCGGCAACGGCGGACGGCGGCAACGGCGGCGCAACGGCTGGCTCCGAAAACGATGCAGGCGGAGGTGGCGGAGGCAGCCGCGCTGCCAAGCGCACGAAGCTGTACAGCGAGCACCTGTCGTACAGCGAACTGATGGCGGGCATTAAGTCGGGTCGGTTCCACCAGGTGGGGTAGTGGCTGTGGTGGTGCTGGTGGGGCCCTATGGCTGTATCCCCTCCCCCGTTCCAGTCGCCACGGACGCCTTTCGGTCAGTTTTTACGTTTGCTACTATCTTGCCCTGGCAGCAGCTTCAATCGCGTGTGGTTCGTCTTTCTCCCCCGTTCCCTCCCCCGTTTCGGTCAGTTCTACGTCTGGTACACTCTTGCCCTGGCAGCAGCTTCACTCGTTTGTGGTTCGTCTTTCCTCCCTGTTTGCCTCCCTTCAGCCCTGGCCTTTTCCTGTTCGTTTTCTCCTTCCTCCCCTGGCGGTTTTCATGTTCTCCTCAGCTCCTAATTTCCGTCCATGTTGCTTCTTCAGGGCGCTCTGCGAGTGAGTCGCTTCAACTCGTTCGAGGGCTGGCTGGCCAGCGAAAGCGTGGGCGAGGACATCCTCATCAACGGCCGCGTGGATATGAACCGAGCCATAGACGGTACGTGTGACCCATGGGTCGTTTAGCACATTGCATTTGCTTTGTTTGTTTGGCCTTCCTTTTCCTTGACCTGCAGCAGGCAGTAGCAGAATGTAAATGTGAACGATTTTGCATTGTGTTCCACTTCCCCGTCACGCAACCCGACCTTGCACTGCCTTTTCGTCTCCGTGCCCGCCCACCCATTCCTTGCCTTTGACTTCCCTTTTCCCCCCCCTCCCATCACTTCAGCTCATCACCGGACGTCATTACTTAACCCTTCAGTTAATCCTTCAGTTTTTTACTCCTTTGCTTCTCATTTCCTGTTCTTCACATCCCGTTGTCTTTGTCCTGTGTTCGAATTTCTTCTCCCTCGAATTTCCGTTCCCTGATGATCCCTTCCCAAGTCCAGGCGATGTGGTGGCGGTGGAGCTGCTCCCCGAGAGCCAGTGGAAGGCTCCCAGTGCCAAGCTGCCGGGGGGAGCAGGCGCCAAGAAGTCGGCGGGGGAGGGGACCGCGGCAGCTGCGGAGGACGAGGGCGACTCAGAGGAGGAGCAGGGGCTGGAAGAGGTTCCTGAGATCTTTCAGGTACGAGTGGGCCGGTCCGACAACCGACGACCCAGCCCCGCTGGCCTGAACTGCTTACAAGCGTCTGCTTCTTTAACCTGTCTATGCGTTTGTTGTACATCTGTACGAATGTATGTGCATCTAGGGTAAAAACTGAAATTTAAGAAAATAATAATTTAGACGCTTATTAATTCTTAGCACTGTGAATGCAAATGGCTAGGTTGCGCCGGGCGAGCACTTCAACGACTCGGCTGGGACCGGGCGACGACCCACGGGTCGCGTGGTGGGCATCATCAAACGCAATTGGCGCACTCGGGGGTATTGCGGCAGCCTCAAACCGCAGCGGGTGCGCTCCGGCGGTGCCGCCAACGTGCTGTTCGTACCGGTGGAGCGGCGCTACCCGATGATACGGTAGGTTTCGTACGTAAGTGCCGTACATTAGCTGTGCCGTACAGGGCGCAGCGCACATGTTACCGTTACCATTGGTGGGCGCCTGGAAAGCCGGTCTTCGCCTTTGCGTTGGACGCTGTGCTAAACTGCTTGTTGGTTAACACATGAAGCCGTGACTCATTGCATACCTTTCGCGCGCCGCTTCCCCTCCGCTCGAAGTCCATTCCTGTCACCCTCCCGGGCATTCCCGTTCGATTCCCGGATCATGATTTTTTTGTTTATTTTTCTTGAACCTCCTGATCCCGCAGCATTCAGACCCGCCAAGCCGACACTCTTATGGACAAGCGCATCGTGGTGGTGATTGACGGCTGGGACGCGGACAGCGCCTACCCTCGCGGTCACTACGTGCGCACACTGGGGATCATTGGCGACAGAGACACGGAAACGGTGGGTCTGCGGGTCCGGGTCACCAAATCCTGTCTGTCTGTCTGTCTGCTCGGAGGAAAACAGCATCGCATTTCCGTGACGGTGTGCGCATCCATTCGCCCTTACAATCACCCCAAGAAACCTCACACCTCACCCCAACCTCACCCCACCCTACTACACATCACCTCACATCCTCCGAAACCACACTGCAACCAACCCTTCCAAATCCAACAGGAGGTGCTCCTGATCGAGAACGACATCAACACCAACCCCTTCACGCCTGCCGTACACGACTGCGTCCCGCCGCTGCCCTGGTCTGTCTCCCCAGCTGACCTAGCCGACCCGAACCGTGCCGACCTGCGGCATCTGGTAGTGGCCTCCGTCGACCCCCCAGGCTGTAAGGATATTGATGACGCGCTGCATGTACGGAAATTGCCGAATGGAAATTACGAGGTACGGCAGTCTGGAGTACGGGACTAGCGACTGGGGGAAGGGGGAAAATGGGAGGGAGGGATGGGAAGGGAATCTGTGTGTGTATATGTGTGTGGGGATTCGTGTTGGCCTTTTCGGCCAGTCGTGTTCTTTTTAATACCACCGGTCCACCTAGGCTGTTTTCTACCCTTCTATCGTCTTGTTGTACGAACGTCCTTCTTTTCCAAACTCGCTGACCCACATCTAGCTATCCAGCAACCCCGCCGACGCCTTCATCCTAGCTTCCGACCGACCCATGGTTCACAACCGCGGGGCTCCTTCCTCCCAGGGTCTTTGTCTGACGACTCGGATGTCGTACCTCGGCAGCCCCTGAACCCCTCCCAAAACCCCGCCTTTCATTCCTATTCACTTAACCACATACATACAAACATACGCACACGCGCGTGCACATCCACATATGCTCGACTGTAAAGATACTTACAGTGTGTGGTATTTCCATCATTTCTTCCCCAACCCCCGGCGGCGCAGTTCATTTTTCTGAAAGAACACCCCATACCTGCCCATAAACTGTTTCCCGTGCCCCGTCTGCAGCTGGGCGTGCACATCGCGGACGTGACCCACTTCCTGAAGCCCGCCACCGCCATGGACCTGGAGGCGGCTCAGAGGGCCACCACCGTGTACCTGGTGCAGCGGCGGATCGACATGCTGCCCAAGCCGCTCACGGAGGACATCTGTAGCTTGAGGTGGGAGCGGGGAGAGAGAGGGAGAAGGGAGATGGATGAAGGCAAGGGGAGGGGGTGGCCGGAGGGATGGAATGGGGCAGGGGTGAGAGGGAGAGAGAGAAAGGAGAGGGATGGAGGGAAGGATGGAGAGAGGATGAGATGTTTCTTGGCATTCACATCGTGTGTTCATGACGGCTTCCACCCGCGTCCCCCCCGCGTCCCCCCGGCCACCCCCCGCGTCCCCGGCCTTCCTCCCCCCCGGCCCCTCAAGGTGCAACGTGGAGCGCCTGGCTTTCTCCGTGTTGTGGGAGGTGGACGAGGAGGCGAACATCCTCAACACCACCTTCATGAAGTCGGTCATCTCCTCCCGCGCCTCCCTCACCTACGCCGAGGCACAGAGCCGCATTGACGATCCAGCCATGAACGACGACCTCACCGTCAGCCTGCGGTGCGTCGTGGTACATGGTACATGATAGGGGCTGTGGTTGAGGCCGTGTGTCCTATGCGTTGTGTGCTGTGCGTGTGCTGTCTTTTTGTGATCCGAGCCGCTGTATGTGCTGTATGTCAGGTGGTTGTGTGCGGCTGAGAGAGCGGCTGTAAGAAGTAACGAGGGGCTGGGGATAGTCGATAGGGGCTGAGAAGAGGAACGGCATCCGACGTGCTGTGTGATGTGTGATATGTTCTGGCGTCCAGGCGGGGTTTAGATTGCTTGGTTGCGCTGTGCTCGAGAGGCGCTGAACTAGGGGGCTGTGGTTGGTGAGCTGCGCATCCTGTGGCGGGACGTGAGGGTAATTGTCAAGGCGCTGGGAAGGAGTCTGTTCTTGGTATCGCTCTTGAAGGGGGGCTGTGCTGCTACTGCTGATGCTACCGCTGCTGAAGCTACTGCTAATGCTGCTACTGCTGGGGTTCGGCACTTGAACGACATGTGGTGTACCTGCCAAACCTCTTCATCTTTGCCTCCTCCCCCGATCCCTCACCGGACTTCTCCCCAGCACCATGAACAAGCTGGCCAAGATTCTGAGAGCTCGGCGAGCGGCCGCGGGTGCCCTTCAGCTGGCCTCCCCTGAGGTGAAGTTCACGATCGACACAGAGACGCACGACCCGCTGGATGTGGGCATGTACCAGGTAAAGAGCTGCGCGCGCTGCGGGATGGTGTGGCGATGGGTGCGGGTGGATGGGTGCGGGTGGATGGGTGCGGGTGGATGGGTGCGGGTGGATGGGTGCGGGTGGATGGGTGCGGGTGGATGGGTGCTCTATACATTTTGGCAACTGTGAGTTTGCTTAGGGTTTTGTATCATATAAATCTCTCGCTTAGAAATCCCGTGTCTTTCTTTCGTGTCTTCCTTACACTACGATCTTCTGGGTGGTGTGGCAGTGATAGCTGCTAATTAGTTGCTTACTCGCGCTAGTCAGTTGCTTGCTACAGCTTCATTCGTTTTGCCAAGTTTCTGCTGTAACCCACCACCGCATCCGTTTCGCCGCTGCCACCGTCGTCGTGATTGCGCATCGTCGCCGCCGCCATCGACGACGTAATCGTTGCCTTTGCTGCCGCCACCGTCGCCTATTCAACGTCGACGTCGTCGTACTCGCCGCCCATTTCGTCACCGTCGTCGCGGTTGCCGCCGCCATCATCGCTGCGCGGGGCGGTTCCTCCCCCGCGTCACCTCTTAGGTTCGCGAAACCAACCAGATGGTCGAGGAGATGATGCTGTTGGCAAATGTGGCTGTGGCGGAGAAGATCCTGCGCCACTTCCCCTCATGCTCGCTGCTCCGACGCCACCAGACACCGCCACCCAGGCAGTGAGTGTATCTCCCTCTCCTTACCCCGACCGACCACCCCACACTCCATACCGCTGCCCAAACAGTGTGAGTGTATATCCCCCCCTTTACCACGACCCATCAGCAACCAATTTGATGCTTTTTGCAGGTTTGAGCCCATCCTGAAGGCCGCCGCCGCGGCGGGCTTCTCCATTGACATATCGTCCTCCTCCGCGCTGGCGGCCTCCCTGGACGGGGCGGTACGGGAGGATGATCCGTATTTTAACAAACTAGTGCGTATCATGACGACGCGTTGTATGACGCAAGTGAGAGCCGGAAAGGGGCGGAAAGGGCCTGAGGGGACGGGAGGGAGCGGAGTGGTGGCATGGGAGCGTGGGGAAAGGGTCTGAGGGGACGGGAGGGAGCGGAGTGGTGGCATGGGAGCGTGGGGAAAGGGTCTGAGGGGACGGGAGGGAGCGGAGTGGTGGCATGGGAGCGTGGGGAAAGCTGTGGGGGGATGTGAAAGAAGCTTTGGAGGGGCTTTCCCTGTCAAATCTGAATTGCTCTGCCTGTTGGCGTCCACTGCCTGGTTCTGGTTTTAGCTGCCCACAAAGCTTCCTGCGCTATAGCGTCCGGTTACCTTCTTTCCTCAGCCCCACCCGGGCCCTGTCCCGACCTCTGTCCCGCCCCACTCGGCGGCCTACCACAGGCCCAGTACTTCGGCAGCGGTGACCTGGCTCCCTCCGAGTACCACCACTACGGCCTGGCCTCCGCCCTGTACACGCACTTCACCTCCCCCATCCGCCGCTATGCGGATGTGGTGGTGCACCGGCTGCTGGGAGCCGCCATCGGCCTGGAGCCCCTGCCGGACAGCGCCAGGGACAAGTGGGTCGTTTCGGGAGGCTGAGGGGTGGGAGGGGGGGAGGGCATGGGGGCGGGGGCGGGGGCTCTAGGGGTCTGACGGGGGGTTGCTGTGGGTTAGGAAAGGTTAAAAGAGTTATTGTTTAAGATATATACCATTTATAACCATGAAAATATCTTGAGCATCCTAGAACCCAGAACGTGGCAAGTGCCTGTACCACCTGGACCTCAAGGTGCAAAGTCCAGGTCCATTACTTCTTAGCGCTCATGGCCCTCATGGTGCTGATGGCGCTGATGCAACACCCTCTCTAAACGTATCCTTCTCGAAATGTTCGTCCCGCCGCGTCCACGTCCCGCGCCTCGTCGAACTCGCGGTTGATTCCCGTGGATGGTCGTCTTTCCTAAACCTGCACCTCCTGCATCTCTAACCCACTCCTAATAGTTTTACCATCCCGTCATGGTTTTCCCCCCCCCGCAACCCGTCTAGGGATGCCCTCCGTGACTGCTCCGATAACCTGAACAAGCGCCATCGCAACGCCCAAATGGCGGGTCGCGCGTCTGTGGAACTGCACACGCTCATCTTTTTCAAGAACCGCAGCGTGGTGGCGGATGCGCGAATCACAAAAGTGCGGGGGGGGGGTCTGTGCGTGTGTCTGTGTCTTTTTTGCTTTGTTGTTTGTGTTGTTACACATGCCAAGGCCAACTGTGAGCGCTTTGAGCACCACCCCGCATTCATTCTCCCTCGGATTAATACTGTAGGTCAAGGCCAACGGCTTGGTCGTGTTCGTACCAAAGTACGGCATCGAGGGGCCGGTGTACCTGACCGCCCGCGACAAGAACAACGCCACTTTGGCCTCAACTTCCGAGGCCGCCGCCGCTGCTGGGGAGCGACTCCTGGGTCATCCATCGGCGCGGCCGCAGCAACAGTTCCTGCTGGACGAGGAGGCACAGACGGTCACTTCAGCGGATGGTTCGGTGCGTTTTGCGCTGTTTGACAAGTGCGCGGTTCGAATCTCGGTGGAGGAGGGAGTTGCGCACAGGAGAACGCTGGTTCTGAGTCTGGTGGATCGAAGCGAGCTGCCGGAGAGCGAGCGAATGGGCTGATGACGGGCTGACGGTCCGATGGTTAGGCAGGACGCTGGCTCGTGGAAAATACAAATAAGCAACTGTATGAACTTACTGGAAAAGCAATTGGTTGAAAATGCTGTTATTAAAGTAAAAGCTGGAGGAATGGTACAGGACGATAAGGAAAAAGTTAGTGGTGACAAGATGGGCGGATGGAAGTATGGGGTTGGAAGTGTATGGGCGTTGGACGGTATGAGCTGTGTTTGGGAGCGGGATTGTATGTAAATATGTATGTATGTGTGTTACACCTCGGTTGCGTTACCCAGAGAGGAGTAAGGAACCCATACGAGCCAGCAGAGGCCCAAGAGCCTAGAAGCCACAAGCTAGGTAAGGGACATAGTACAACGCAAAAGTCCTAGCATCCAAGTGTATGTGTGTATGTATGTATGTCTAGGGGGTAGCTGTGAGCGAGGACTATGTGAGCCCATGAGGTTGGGCTTTGGGGGCTGCTAGGGTTAGGAAGATAGAAGGAAATGTAGGGATGGGGAAGCTGTACGGGAACTTATGTGGGTTTGGCGGTTGGTGAGAGAAGGCGTGTGCACCCCACCGACAGCGTGCTGGAGGGCTGCAGAGCTGAAGGACCGATCCACAGCTGACCTCCGATGAGACAGTGAAGAGGGAAAAGGCGAAGCAGGTGACATGTTTAGGTGACATGTTTTAGGGGTTGCTGACATGTTTGGGTCGCGTGTGTTTGGTGTGCTTGGGAGGACGGGAAGCTCATCTTGTAAATATGGATATGCGTGGAAGAATTTCCGCAATTGACAATACCCGAAGAGGTAAAGCAGTAGGATACAGGTAAAGGTTAGGGTGGCGGAGCACTGCATTAAGCAACGTGACCCACAGCAGGTGCCCTGGCATGCAGCTTCGCCGTGACCGTGCCGTGTTATTGTGCTTTCGCAACCTGGCGTGATGGAGGCCGTGCAGCGCCACAGCGGCGGGTGATAGGTGTGGCAGGTGACAGGGTTTTTCCGCGAGCGTGGCCGCGAAAGCCTCGTCATCAAGCCGCTTCCCCCTCTTGGCAGGTAGTTGCTATCCTCCTCCGCCTCCCCCTCTTCGTCCACATCTTGTTGTTGCTTCATCATCTTCTTCGTCGTCGTCAATGTGGACCGATTTTCAAGTACAGAAAGCTCAGTCAGAAGAATGCAAACTGTAGGTAGGTAGGCTAGGTGGCCGGGATGGAGCGGGGTTTGTGGTCGCATACCGTCCGCGACACCTGGCCCAGACGAGGTGCCGCCCTGGAGCGATGCTAACCGATTTCTTGCCAGCGCGCTGCTCGCAATTCCAGCACAACCGTCTTTTTCTCTTAAACAACAGCAATTTGGTAGGGTTGACGAACGTGAAAGAAACTCGACCCGAACAAAGTCGAGTTTGTCATGTCAACGGTATAGCATTCCTTCAAGCCACAAAGAACACAGTAGTTCAAATAGTAATAATAGTAATGCTCTTATTATAGGAACAAGTATTTGCTCCGTTCTTGTATGTGCGATAGCGACAGCGACGTGCGGCATTCCAGCCTGCAATATGTGAGACAGAAAAGATGATAAATGCCTTATTGCTACTGGTGAACTTTGTAAAAATGAAAGCAAAACTGTCCAATGTCTTTCTGTACGGCGACCCTCAACACCACTGCATGACCTGCCAAGGGCTGCAGACACCTCACTGACACTGACAACCCTCCTAGCCCAGGCCTGTTCTTCTTTCCCATTGGCTCCCATCATCGCAGTGTGCCCAAACAAAACTCCATCCCTTCCGCCGCCATTGCCGCCATCACCATCCCCGCCATCGCCACCACCTGCCATCGTCACCCCTGCCACCATCATCATCACCACCGTCGCCATTGCCACTGTTGCCATCCCCACCGTCACCATTGCAACCGTCACCATCCCTGACGTCACCATCCTCACTGCTGCCATTGCCGCCGTCGCCATCCCTGCCATCACAATTGCCACCGTCGCCATCCCTGCCATCACCATTGCCACTGTCGTCATCCCTGCCATCGCCACTGCCGCCATCGCCATCCCTGCCGTCGCCATTCCTGGCGACGGCGGGATCAATGGCGATGGCAGGGATGGCGACAGTGGCAATGGCGGCAGTGGGGATGGCGACGGTGGCAATAGCGATGGGGGGGATGGCGACGGTGGCAATGGTGATGCCATCGCCATTACTGCTGTCGCCATCTCCACCGTCACGATTGCTGCCGTCGCCAACAATTTAGAACCCCTGGTGTGCTTCTCCGCTAGTTGAAAATTAATTACAAGCTTGATGGCTGTTTTAGCATGCCGCGCGTTTGTGTGCCTCTGCAGGTTGTGTGTGTGAATTTTCTGTAGACGTCCAGTCAAAAAAACGGGGGAGCCACCGGCTAAATGCTTTAAACACGACAGGGACCCTGGGGAATTCGTGTGGGCGCAAATGATGCATATGCTATATAACACTGAGGTCGCCGGCCCAGTGTGGCTGTTTTGTCCTCCGGGGTGTGAAAGAAGGGAGACATGTGTGGCGCGCCATCCCTCCCTCCCTCCATCCTTTCACCCTACCCCCACAATCCCCTCACACCACCCCCCACCCTCCACAATACCTTTTCTCACTCTTATTCCACCCTCCCTAAGTCATCCTCCCTTCAACTCCCATCTGCCCTCCCTTCTGCCCTTCTGTGCCTTCTCCTCTGCTGTCCCCTGCTCTCCCTTGCCCTTCCCTCCGTCTTTTGTGTTTGATATGTGTGTGCCCTCTGCCCATGTGCTCATGTGTTCACGGACACACCCCTGCGCCGCCCCGTGCAGCGCCGTCCTCCCCCGCGCCGCCCAGTGCAGCGCCGCCCTCCCCTGCGCCGCCCGTACAGAAAGACATTGGACAGTTTTGCTTTCATTTTTACAAAGTTCACCAGTAGCAATAAGGCATTTATCATCTTTTCTGTCTCACATATTGCAGGCTGGAATGCCGCACGTCGCTGTCGCTATCGCACATACAAGAACGGAGCAAATACTTGTTCCTATAATAAGAGCATTATTATTATTACTATTTGAACTACTGTGTTCTTTGTGGCTTGAAGGAATGCTATACCGTTGACATGACAAAGTCGACTTTGTTCGGGTCGAGTTTCCTTCACGTTCGTCAACCCTAACAAATTGCTGTTGTTTAAGGGAAAAAGACGGTTGTGCTGGAATTGCGAGCAGCGCGCTGGCAAGAAATCGGTTAGCATCGCTCCAGGGCGGCACCTCGTCTGGGCCAGGTGTCGCCGCGGGCGTGCTGGGGAAAGTCGTAACTAAGGAGCATGGTGATGTATGAGAAACGTGGCCATATAAAAATCTAAATGACTTGCATTATAAAAGAAGGCAAACTATCTCGAAATCCAACTGCCCTTCGCTATTAGCGACTCCTACCATATGTACCACAACTTGTCACATCCCAAGACAACTGTTTTCATAAACCGGCAATCCAAGCCTTTCTGATATTTAACGAGGTGTAAATGTGCAACACCACAAGTTTAAGTCGCCTGACTACAGCCGTCGTACACAAATAAGAAATGTGCAATACACTGCTGAGGGTGTATTTCCAGTGCAGATTAAGGCCAGGGATTAAGGTCCCGCTATTACCGGCTAATCCCCGGCTAATCCCTGGCAATTAGTAAGGCCTGGGATTAGCGCGGGATTAAGGCCGTACAAAGGGCGATGCACATTTTTTGATGCGATCTCGAAGCTAATACTACCAGTTCTGAATTCCTTTGGATTAGCACAGGGATTAACACTAATCTATGGCCTTAATCCGCACTGGAAATACACTTCGAGTGTCCTAAAGGTGCGCCAATTAGGTAGTCGCATCCATATCGCCTCAGTTGATGACGATACGACTTTGGGTAGGGTTCAGGAGCAATTTCTACTACGGAGCAGACAACTTCGTGACACCCTATGTACCGCGAATTACTTTTCAGTAGCATCAGTGTCTTCGCTGGATGACATGGTTTGATTCGACAGCGGCAGTTGCCCTCGATACACGCAATTGCTCAGTGCCTATGCTTTAATATATTGGTTCTTCTTCCTTTTCGATTTGCTGTTCACAACTTTGTTGTGGGTTCGACCTCACTGAGCAGCATGGCATGGACAAGCTTCTACTGTACGGTGCTTCTATGCATCATCGCTCCCTTGCATGTCCATAATAACGGACACAGTGTGTAGATAAGTGAGCTGAGCCAAGTGCATGTCTGTGAAGTAACTCTTCGTGCAGCATGCGTCACCATCATCTATTCCAAGCAACGTCCTGCATTTCGCACCATCGACCGTTTCACGCGAAGTCGCGATGCCGTCAAAACGCTGCGGTCTTGAAACAAAAACCAGGCATCGCGTCAGGAAGGCCGTCCGGAATTTACATCCGTACCTCATCATCATAGGATAATAATAAAAAAAACGTCCGGACGCATCCGCTAAGTGTCGGCGTGTTGCATCATAATCACACGAGGACGCCACAGGACGCTGTAGTAGCCAACATTCCAATCCCGCAACGTTACAGGACAAGCTGCCGAACTGCCCCAACCCTTCCTTCCATCTTACCCTCCATTCACGGCTGGACGTCGGCCCCATCTTCCGAGGCCTGCTGTACATGCAGCACGTGTATGGGAACATGACAATTAGGGCAGGCACGGCAATGACGGCGGCGAAACATACACCCCCCACTCCCCCGACCAGCCCCAGCCAACCTCCATAGCATCAGGAACAAGAAAGAGGGGAACGGGTAACGAATCGACAAAGAAAAAATACCCTGGCACAGACGTGCCCCACCACCACCTGCACACATAAAAACACTTGCCGTACTACGATATCCCTATCGGAGTACGACAGCTTTTTGTCGCCCCACATAAAGCTCATGAGAGCCCCAACCCTTCCTCCATCTTACCTCCATTTCCGGCTGGACGTCGGCCGCACCTTCCGAGGGTGCGCCTCATCTGAATCGTTCCCACAACAGCCCCCAGGAAGCGAATACGGATAATACGACCCTATCCTGCTGCTACTGCCACTGCAGCTCGTGTACGAGGTCTTGTTGAGGCGAGTGATATTCCATGCACAGGAGGGCCTGTAGCGGTCGTGACGGAGGTCCATGATGTGTGCGTGTGAGAACCCAAGCACTGATCACACACAAGAGCAGGGGTCGTTGGGGGCGTAGTCATCTGTGACGACCTAACGACCTAACGAGTTTCATTGTGAATGACGGTTGAAAGTTCATCGAGTATGTAAGACCCAATGGGACAGAGAACAGCTGGTGCTTGTGTTGGCGCCGTCACGGTGGATGTGCGAGTGAAGGTGTGGTGGAGTGGAAAAGGGGAGGGGAGATGGTGAAACGGCCATGTGCCCGAGTCTCTCGAAAACACAGAAAGTGGCTATGTACACACGATGGCTGCGCCGTAAGTGGAACTCGTCGGATTAATATCATGTCGCCACCTAAGACGGCTCCCTGAAGGCTTTCGCAGCAAAGGCCGCACATCCCCGGCGCATCAACTCTGCAGGTCCCTCGCCGCTGTTCCAACCTTCCTGTACCCTGTTTTCCGTCTAGAGGTCCACACTAATGCTGTTTACAGATAAAAGGACGTTATTGCGTAGATGTGCGTAGTATATTCGGTGGCTATGGCTTCACTGCGCCTCTCTATGCTCTAACAGCAGTGGCTTCGTGCGCTCGGACATGCCGATAAGCGTTTATAGTCACAGGCTAGCTATGAGACTGCATTCATGTATCATCGAACTGATGGTAATCACTAGTCTTAGAGACTGTAAGACACCGCTAGAGTAACAAAATGAGTCAATGCGGATGCTCATCACAAGTGTGTCACTCTGAGAATCGATGCTGACAGACACGCAGAAGGGCTTTAAGACTAGCCGGGTTCAAGATCCGAAACGTTTGCAACGCACACTCGTCAGCCTGTCGGCCAATCCCAGGTCATAGGTTCTGTATGACTGTCTGTCAATCTCCGGGTTCTTGGCGGAGTCTATCTGTCCCAGCCAATCCAATGTCTCTCGACACATCTAGTCTCTCGGAGTACGGATCACCCGCGGACCTAACACCTATGGGGCCTCTGTTTGGACTTTTCCTATATAAATAAACACCGGGGTCCTGGTGAAGCAGCTGACCGCGTACTAAAGTATATAGATGCGGAAGATGCCGAAGTACCGTAGTGCTACTTATAGTTCGTGATCGCTTTGTTCGGGGAGGGGTCAAAAAACTTTCTGAAATTTGTACGTGCTCTTTGAATTTCGGGGAAGGCCGGTCCAGATTTTGCGGGCATGATACAAATTTCGGGGCCCCTTCCAACGTTTCGGGGCTTTTCAAACTGCAGCTTCCAGTCAGTCTCCCTCCACCGGGAACCCTTAGGCTCATGGTCTCTCACCATTTTCGCACTTTGGAAACGCCCTAGCAAATTCTGGACCGATCGTACAGTTCAGTACCAGTGGCAACGATCTAATAACCAGCCGCATTGCGCTCGCGCCTAGCAACCTCCTCGTGCTCCATTCGCTCACGCTGGGCCTCGACAACAGCATCATCAAGCCTGGTGCAACTCCAGCTAGGTCGCTCACCGGAGCGTTTGGTGCTAGCGGTTTCATCCCGTATTGAAGCAGGGTTGCCTGTCTTGCACGTTTTCCAGCGTTGTTCATGTCCTACGCTTATGACTATATTCTATGTATTTAAGAGCTGATTTCCGCCTTGAAATCCTAGTTTTTGCAAAGTTTGATCGACCGGCTTCGGAGGGTACGATATTTCGGGGCTGCGGTCCCTGGGGATACCTTAGAATTTGTACATGCTACATATTCGTGGTGCCTCCCGAATTATTGTAGCACGAACTATAAGTAGCACCACGGTAGTCAGCATAAAGAAGGCCGAATGGTCAGCAGAAAGGAGGCGGCTGCGGCTTTCACCGCTGCCGCGAAGGCGCTGGACGTGCGCGGGAAGGAGCTCGGCGACTTGTGCTTCGCCCTGTCCAAACTATTGGGGGAGGAGCTCGAGGTGTTTCCGATAGACGGTGACAACGAGGCAATTGTTGAGTTCATGAGGTCCGTGAAAGGTAAGAGTGGTGCGGGTTCAAATCTGGAAAGGAGTTCACTCACACGCACCCAGCAACCCCGCACCAAGATCTCATCTCGACGTGTCCCCTCAATTGCTCTCATGTTGTGCAGCCTCGGCGGCTGGCCTCGGCATGGGGAGCGCGGCTGGAGCTGGTGAGTTGGTTGTGCTAGCCCAGGCTTGACCTGACCTAAGACTCCGGCTCTAGTGCTCCGCCTTACCTTGCCATACCTTCAGATCTGTAAATAGTGTGAACGCGCATAGATTGTACGCCAATTACTAACATGTGTTCGCTCCGGAATAAACATCTGCAGTTGTTCTCGAGCGGCTGGAAAAGCTTGAGGAAACGCTTGGGGAGAAGATCCGGGAGGAAAATCTCCAGCTTGAGGAAAAGCTCAAGCTGGAGCTTGGGGAGAAGATCCGGGAGGAAAATCTCCAGCTCAAGCTGAAGCTTGGGGAGGAGCTTGGGGAGATCCAGGAGGAAATCAGGGACCAGAGCCAGTTCGTGCGAGTCCTGATGCAGGGCGACATCACAGCGACATCCAGCAAGGACAGCACGCCCTACCGCGAGAATGCCTTCAGGTACTACGGCTACAGCGCCAGGCCCGAGACCGTGAAGTGCATGGTGACCGGAAAGGACATGCCAGCCGCCAGTATCAAGGCGGGGCATATCTTCCGTCAGGGCTGGAACCGGGGTTACCTGGTAAGTCTGGATGGCTGCGGTGTAGAGTTGCTGTAGAGTTATTAATTGTGCCCGGAGTGGGCCAACACATGAGCATGCTACCAACAAGACTGGGTCTCTTCCACCCGGCCGTGTCCTTGGGCTGCTCCGCATCCACTCAATAGTTGCTAACTGAATCCCCTTACCCCTGCCGCGTTTCAGAGCTTTTATCCTCTTGCTGTTGCACGTATGGGTCCGGGTGACGGTTGTTATCAATCTTGAGCCAGTCCTTTCCTCAACAGTCTATGTGATTAGAGCTGCTCACACACGCGCGCACACACACACACACACGCGCGCGCACACATACACCAAAACATGAGATCCTCCACTTACTCCTACGCTGTGCAGCCGCTGCTGGGCGTCACCTCCGTGCACGACCCGCGCAACATCATCCTGGTCCGCACGGAAGTGGAGACCGCTTTCGACCGGTTTGAAGTGGCCATCATTCCCCAGAACGAGGGTTATCAGGTGAGCAAGAATGCTGGTTCCGGGGCAGGTGAGGGGTGGGTAGTCAATGA